TAAGTATGTAATGGTAAATACATGTATACATGTACATGTACATAACTTATTGAATTACCAAACCTGTGGGGTCAGGAGTATTTCATCGCATTCAATTTAAAGGTGCCAGTACATGTAACAATCTGTGTAGAATGTGTGACAAACTGTAGTGTGCTACAGTACATACATGTAGACTACACATGTGAAAATACGCCAGAAAGTCAACCAACTAATTTACGGCTGAATGTGTACAAAACTTCATGAGAGACTGCACTACATGTACATGTACTGTACATAGCCTACATGTTCAAGCACAATACAGACTATGAAATACAGCTTTCAAACAAAGACAGCACTTTTCTGCGTGTGAGAGGAAAATGCCTCTTGCAATTTAATTTGGTTAAATTAACTCACAAACTTTTGCATAGAGACTACAATCTCTAGAATAGACTGGTTTCTTTGTACCCTCCTTACTGAAAACAGTATGTTAGTGCGAGGCGTCTCTTTAATATGTAACTAACAAACAGCTTGCCCCAAAATCACGAGGTATAGCAGTGATGTCTTCAGAATGGGGAATACACATTGTAATGTTTATGTGAATTTCAAGAACTCAGTGTACCAGATTTTATTGACATATAACTCATAAAAGGCTTACTCACATAAGTATGGGCAAGTAAGGGAAATGGCCCACAAGCAGCCTCCCACTTTAACCACTGAGAAAAAGTTCAGGGTTTGAGGAACTTTTCTTCAATATCTAAAAAATTGGATTAATTCAACAGATAAAATTCTCTCAGTGGAAAGGTGAACTCACAGGATGAGAAGCAGCAGCATTCATCCCCGACTCCGAGCTGGTGTTTGGTGCCCCGTGTCCCGAGCTGATGCCAGTTCCCAGCAAGGAGTGAGTCCCCATGATCGAGGGGCTCTCCAGAGACAGGTCCAGCGGCTTGGTGGTCATGGTGCCTGGGCCAGTCAGGGATGTACTGGCCTCAGTGGTGCCGAGGTGGACACTGATCAGATCCCTGACGACAGAGGGCGCTGCAAAAAAGGAATCGTAGCAGACAGCCGAATGGCCTTCAATGTTGGACAAACACTAAATATTGACTTATTTCTTTAAGATCAACTTAAAGAGGTGCTCTTTAAGGCCTCTTCAAGTGAAACTTGAGCTGATGTTTCGACTACCCGTGCTTGAAAAATGTTAACCCTTTCCTGCTTCACCCTCCAGAGCAGTTGCATATTTCACTAGCTACATGTACATGTAGCTATTGGTTGGTCATACATGTAGAGCAATGCCTGCTCAACAATGAGCAAAAGTACATGTACATGCACTTTCCCACAGATTTGAATCATCGCTACTCACCAAAAGCCCCTAAAGCTCTAACTCAAATCCTACAATGGGACTGTCAGGACATCACTGCGTACGGGCTCAGGTGCACGTACATGTACATACATGTATAACTCTGAACAAGAGACCTGTCAAGCCTACATGTATGGGCTGCATGCATCTAACCAGTGTCCAGACTGCCAGGTGTGATCACTTTCCAGGCAACTTAGCCAAAACAATAGCTTTCCCCTCTTCTGGAGATAAAGTATTCATGCTATTGTATGTTACTTTGAATGCAGCAAGGTGCAGGCAACAGGATGATTGATCATTGAAAATTGGATCAAAAAGTTTAAAATCCTGCACACCATGTCCACAGACAATGTGCAACAGTCGTGTCTGGTCTGCTGAGGTGGTGAGACAGTCTCTGTCAGGTGGAAGGGGGAAGGGGGAGAAGAATGCTGCTACTGGGGTACACATGTACAGTAGCTACCCACACAAGTTCAGGTTCCATCAGGGATGAGTGAAAGAGCCTTCAGCTTGCCAGTCTGATCCGCACTTCCCCTGTCTTTTGAACTTTTCCACATAACTTGTTGGTGACAGTGCTTGTTGGAACCCCAGCCATTCACTGGAGCACCTTTCTCCAGGCATACGTGTACTGTACCTAGAGTACTTTAGGCTTTTCATTGCTTTCAAATGTTTGCACTGACAAGTCAATACAAACTACAGTCGAAAAATGGTTAAATGCAGCTTTACATACAATCCAGAACAATATTCCAAGGTTTTTGTAGGCCTTTTCAAACCAAATGAAACAATGGATTTTGTTGACAAACATTACATATTTTGTCTACTAGGAAGAGACCAAGTATTTCAAACCTAAACCCTATCAGTGCTGAATCTTCCAATTTCAATGAGGGAATAAATACTTGTACTGTATGTCCTTGGCCAATTTTAAACATGCATTTAAGATCAACTCAGGAAGATGGACACAACCAATGCCCAAGTCACAGGCCAGGGAAGTCCTGAAGAATTTCCTAACAATTACATGTATATGGACTTGGCAGGCACGTGATGAGTTCTGCGTGCTACAATACACGTAGATCCTTGAACAACAGGATTAAATTAAACTGTCTCGTATCCAGGTGCCAGCGCGTTTGTACGCAGCAGGCATTATGAAATTGCAATGGGCATTACCAAATGTTGATACATGGTCAGGTTGTACATTGTTGATTAGGGAAACTGTCTGAGATATTTATGAATATCATTTTACCCACAGTGCACACATGCCAGGGAATTGAGAGTTTTAAAAAAAATCTAACTTGAAACATAAAAAAGGGGAAGATGAGCTTGATTTATTAGCAATGGCTGGTAATGACCTCCCTCCCCGGGGTTTAATTGTGTTAGGGTGTGCCACTTCCAAGAATTTGATTATTTTCTCTTTTATGTTTTTGAAGACTTCCAAGAAAATGTTCACCTGACAGAGGCCGTCAGCTTGCCATAACTTCTAGTTCTACATTTAGACCAGTAAACAATTCAAACTAAAACTTTCTCACACAATGTGTGGAGTGTGCACACATACATGTAATACAAAAACTAATTTTCACCAAATATTTTAAGTGGAACAAAACTTCCACGGCTAAGATTTTTAAATAATGAGAGCAAAAACCCAAGCTCTAGAGATAGAAAGCTTGTTACCACCACAGGTTTTGTTCAAAGAAACCTTACGAACAGTACATGTACATAATCATTTGTGCAATTTTTCTGAGCTTTGATGATCTTGCTGGAATATCCATCAACTAATGAGCATTTTCAAAAACCACGAACAACTATTTCTGTCAATCCACAGAAACTGGCTTTTCTCAAGTTGGCCGTTAATAATCTAGTGCTTCCCCCGACAAAGGAAGGGGTTTTTTCACTTAAATAAGGAGCTCTTTAGGATTAAATTTTCAGTATAATGGTTTCTTTGGTTTTTAGCTGATATCCAACTTTGTGAGTTCCTTTCCAGGCCAATTGGAATAAAAGTTGGGGGACTGGCAAATAATTATAGCAACTGAAGGCTACTAAATTCCTTCTAAATCTAAACATACAAATAAAAAAAATCTTTCAAAGAATGCTTTTGATGAAGAAGTTTGGTTAAATTTTGGCAGTAGTTTCGGAAAGTGAATTGATATTTTGTCAAATTCAAAGAGCACAAATGAATTTTTGGTCAACATTGCCAGGAAGCAACTTTGTTAGAATTTTGACAAAGTACAGACAAAGTGTTTTGTTGGCATTAATGGTCACAGGTGCTCTACAGCTAACTAATGCTATACATGTGTGTACATGTATGCTTGATATCAGAGAGGATAATGATCAGAGTAGGTTGGGTCCTACAACCTTTGACACCGTAGCCTGGGGGCAAGGCGGGTTTGCATGACCCCTGACAAACCAGCAACCTCCAATGTCAGGTTGCTCACATGCATCTGTTTTCCTTCCTCCATGCATGTACATAAACATGTGCATGCGTGCAATCACTACTACAGCGCTTCCACCAACTTCACTGATATAAAACAGTAGAGAAATCCTTTGCTATAGTATTCACACAAATTTAGTGCTGTGCCTGCATTTCCAGTTGGCATTATGAGCTTAGTGAGAACAATCTTGCACTCTGTATTTGCAGCTTGCACTGGTCTGTGCATAAAGTAAATACTGATGCATGTGGGTTAATTTACAAAAATAAAAATGTGAAAAACAAGGCAAAGGACGACAACAAGAAAACAAAGAAATGCCAGCAGAAATGAAAGTAATTTAAAAGGTAATATGGAATATCCTTGTGGCCCCACAGAGCCAAAATACATTTTCATCAACTGCGTTTCCACTTTCAATGTTACGGTACATGTATACGTTGTACATGTATTTGTACCAGCACCCCAAATATGGCTAAATATGTAAAAGACAGGGTTGACCAGTCAACCTTTTCAGTCTGTGAGAGTGCATGAATGTGCACGTGCATGTACATGCAGACTAATTAGCAATATCAGTCAGCAAAAAAATAGCTTAAATCAGGTTTCATGTCATTAGCATGCCAGTTCGCATCCTATCCCTTTGTAGACCACGTCTGGTAGTTTTACATGGAATTTGTCTCCGAGACAAGCAATCTGCACTTTCTATGCAGCATGCAGAGCAGGTCATCTGTGACTTGATACCAGTCAGTTGCCAACAATAAGGCTCATATGTACATGTACATACATGTACATACATACATGTGAGTACATGCATGTATGTCACTGGTCGACCCACACATCTACCGGTACAGTAGAAGCATGTCACAATTTCCCTCAATATTGCACTGTCCTGTGAAGTCTTTAAATCAACCCATACATGCATTTTGGGTGATGTACATGTACGGGTACATGTAGTTGTTGAGTAGAAGAGACCAGTTGGGTTTTCCCAGTGACAGTGGGTGTATCCACTTACAAAAGGCCTTTATTCACTACCTCTCCACCTGGGTTGGACTCAACCTTAGCAAGGCCATGACCAGATGAAAAATCTCAACCCTGGTCAAGAACAGGCTTGAGTCCAACCCAGGCTAAAGTCAATCTCAGGGTAAACGCAGCATTGGAGTGGGGTTGAAAGATTGAAAGTGTGAATTTTTGCCAGTTTCTAACGATGCATCGCCCCATTTGTCTAGTGTGACAATGTCTGGAGAGCAACTTTCTAGTTCTTTCTGTCTCATCCCATTTCCCCCTTGTTTTTACCTGCCCCTGCTCAAGCGAAGCTTCAACACTCATCCATCGTGTGCTTGGTATTAAGTGGACCCTTAAATGGGGACTTGTGAATCACTGACTTTTTATTAAAAATAGACAAATAAAAAGAAGAAATAAAAATGTCAAAATGCAAAGTCCAGCATTGTCTATGCTTTTCTTCTAATTTAGAATGTTACCCAGTAAACTTCATGGAAGAGAAATGTTAGGATAAAGAAGCTAGGTAGCTGTTTTGCATGGGAGGAACATCTTTGATGGTACATACATGTACAGTAAACTGCAAATGAAAGTTAACATGGGAATGGGCAATTCTCTTCACACTTTTCTCTTCCAAGGCAATTCCCTTTCATTTCAGAAAATGCGAATAAAAATTAACTTCGCACAGTGGGAAAAGATTTTCAGAGAGTTTCTAAAAGTGGGAAAGATTTTGACAATTGTTCCCAAAATTGAGAAAACATTTTCAGAACTTTTCACAAAACTGGGAAATTATTTTCACGTCTTGTGAAAAGTGGGTGTGCATGTAAAAGTGAACTCTTTCCCTCAAATTTCCCATTCTGAATTCACAGTGTTAACTTTCAACTGCAATGTACTTGAACTTCCTGAAAAAAAATGGAAGCTGTGGCATATACGCTCAGCTCCAACTTACAGGATCTCGTTGGACATACTGGAGATGAGATAAGAGTCCCAACAGCTAAGCCACTGTGCCCATGTTTAAATGTGTTACTGCACATGTGTCCATCGTTAGCCATAGCAGCTTTGGTGGTGGACTGTGACGGACCAGTTCCAGGCCCACTGATCCCCTCTGGTCTGGATACCTTGGGTGGTGGGCTGGGCCCACACATGTCCATCTGTGAAGCCAGAAGAGAATTTGTATGAACGACATTGTGTTGATATGAAAATAGCACACTAGCAACCACAGCCATCTTGGTTGCACTGTACTACATGTAGGTTCATTACAAACACTGGCTTTAACAAACTAAGAGGTTTAGTCCAAAACACGCCAGGTTTGGGAACCTCCTCACAGCTGAGAAGGTCTGCACCCATGAAGGTACACACGTAATAACTTTTCCAGAGCCTCTGAAGACCACGTCATTTGGCTACAAGTTTAGCCCCTTGAAAGGTCAAGCTCATTACATGTACACGTACAATACAGCCAAAATTCCTCCATGACATTCCTGCTAAGAGTGGTTGATTTTGCAGCATTTACCAAGGTTTCTTGCCAAAATGCCACAGATACGTATTAGGGTTAAATACACTTTCTCATTAGTCCGAAAATAACTTTTAACGTATCTCATAAACCAACATCACTCCAATTTGATAGATCAATTGTAATGGGCAGCATTTTTGGAGTCAGGATCACCTGACCTTTACTTCCAGAGTTACTAGACAGGTCAAAGTTAGTTGCACCTTCCAACCAAAACTTACATGTACACGTACCCAATTCTTGAAAATTGTTCCCTGGATAAATTGTGAAACCTAGCTTCAATTTATCTCGATGCTGAGATAAACATGTGCATACTGTGACATCGTCTGCTATCAAATTCAGGGTAAAAATCAAGAAATGTTTTGCAGTACACTTACAAACTGAGTGAAAAACAATGTTTATTTCACAGTCCATAGACCTACAGGTGCATGCACATCTGTTTAGCTATGGGCAGGGAGATATTTTTGGAAGGAGCGCTTGCAATGACCATGGAAGAAGGAACACAACACATCTGCACTTGTGGTTAAAGTTATACTGATGAAGAAAACCACTGCATTGCAGTCACACGTGACTGACATCAATAGACAATACATCCAGTGAATGATACTCAACTTTAATTTAACTTTAAATGATTAACAACATGCATTCAAGAAACCCAGATCCAATGTTTGCCGCATTTGAACCCTTTTTGACCCTGTAACCACTACAACAGCTCAAAGACATGGTTCAACATGGTCAACCACAGGTGCATGTATTACGACCTTCAAGTAGACCACCTATGCATGTACTGTTCATTGTGTACCAGTATGTTTAAATTGTCAAAATACATAATTAGTGATGAACATTCTGTTATGCCTGACAGGACTGCCAGGAATAAACTCCAATATTATAAGCATGTATGGAGAAGAGATTATTAAATGTTGTTGTCAAAGGTCATAATGGAATGCACACATAGCGTAAACAGGGTAGAAAACACACCATTGAACCGATAAAATTAAAGAGCTGGCACGTATATTGTACCTGTGCCTGTACCGATCTGATGAAGCGAGGCAAATGTTGAACGCCATAATAAACAAGGTTCACAAGGAGTCAGACATGACTCACGTGACTGGCAAAATGATGTTTCACCTCCCTCCTTTGCCGTTCTACACGTGCATGTCAGTCATTAGTGAAATGCACACATAATCCCATAATAAAAATTGAAATGAGTTTTTGTTGGAGTTGGATTATCCATATTAAGAATACCGTAGGTTTGGTAGAATAGGTAGAATAATCTTCTCTATATCTATCTTTGGACTCAACAGCTTTCTCTACGGGGGAAAGTCAGATGAGTGAGATGAATGCATTCGAATGCCCAGAGCCCACAAGTAAATCCTATTTGTTTGTGCACATTCTGACAAAAACTAAGCAATGTATGCAAGCACACATGTGGCAATACACGAACTTGTTACCAGGTTATGGGAACAACACCCTTGTTAAAATATAGACGTTGTAGGGACCAAGAATATGGGGACATTTCTTGTCCCAACAACTTGAAAAAGAAATGTGATGGAGGCCTACCCTATAGGACATGCACAAACATACATGTAAATGTACTGTGTCCTGCACACAATGGATTCTATAGGATACACACTGCCATACTGTCCCTGGATGGAATGATGGAATCAAAAGCCACACTAGGAAGCATCAGCGTCTAACCTTATCCAGTCTAATATACCACGGACAAACCAGTATGGGTATACTGGTTTGTAACTATTGCTGACTGGCAGTAAATTTACACAGCTGATTAAGAATGGTAGACTTGTAGCAAGTCTACCCTGGACCTGTGTAAGGTCACCCCCTAGGGTGGTCTACCAGGGGGCCACACAGTGGGTGTTTCCAATGACTTGGGCAAACACTCCATCTGAACCTTTGCACAATAGCAGCCAAGCAACTGGCTGAGAGATTTGTAAAGGAGTAAAATTATTGACACAAGTACATTAATGTACACTGTATACCAGTAGGCCTACTCCGGGTTACACTATGTAAAATACTTCATGTATTTCTGGCCAATATTCTGGATTAGAATGCCATAAGATGTTGCAACATTCTTTGGGTTTTCATGTTGACAATTCAAGTGAACGCCAAGTACTGTACAGGTACGAGGTATGTTTCCACTGAGGGAAAGTAATAGGTCAATAAATCAGACACATGAGCCTGTAAATGTGGCCCATTCGAACAAAAGAAAAGGGCAATTGCCAAAGATGGAAGGGGAAAAGAATTGATAATGAAACTGTTTTCTCAAAATTTGCTTGGCTTTGTCTGGAATAACTGGACTTTTGACTGCCTGTCTGGCAGTTGAAGGCTATCAAACTTTTAAAAACCCTGGTTCATATTACTCCAAGATGAGAGTCAAAATTACTGTAATGAAGACAGACTACCAATCTCCAGAAATATTTTCTCTGTAACTCTGACAGCCAAAACTTTATTTTTTTTAAGAATCTAACTTCTTTAACACAACGTTTTTGAATGTATTCCACAATTTAAAAAGACAAAGGGATTTTTTAGTCAAAAAAAGATTAAATAACAATCATTCTCAAGTTTGCAGGGCAATGTCCAGACACTTTATCTGGGCTGCAAGAATTCCAGAAGACACATCACATCTCCAACCAAGGGGAGCTCAAAAAGGGAGCTTTAAAAATCGACTGCACTTATGACTGCATTCAACAGATCATAACACATTCAAAATTATCAAGAAACTCGCTTAGTTTTTTTCTTCTCCATAAATCAAAAATAGCTGACTCAAGAAGTGATAAGCAAATCATTTTTTATGTGATGGGTTTCAATACAAAATGCGATATACATGTACATGTATATGCCATTCAAATACCGAGCAATGCTTCCACAATCATTGAATATTTAAGAACAGAAAGAGTGTACCACGCAACATGTTCTTTTTCAATGTTCTGACTCACTGTGTTGTTTTTTTTACTAAAAAAAACCCATAAAAACTGGTTGGAGGCAACAAACAAAAGGAAAAATTCACAGAATGACTAAAATGACACTTATTCATAAAATTCTTTGTCAACTATTATTTGAGATCTAGCTACGGAGCATGGAGTCCAACAAATTATAAATAAGTAAGTAATGACTCTTGGCGAAGGTCCCGATGTGAACTTTGAAGGTCAAAGGTGGGCATGTGCAAACCATTTACAGGAAGTGTACCCGCTGTGTCCACATGTGATTCAAATAGTAACATGTGGGGCCCACCAGTACGGTACATTTTGCGCTTTGCTTTAAAAATGACCAGGATCAGAATTCGAGATTTGGATTCAAAATTCAAGGACATGTGGCCAAGACCCACAAAAGCAGATTAAAAATAAGCATGTAACGATGGCATGGAACTTACAAAAGAAAATCCACATGGGACTGGGACAAGTCTACTACCAAGCATGTGTGCTGGTAATACCCCCTGGACAGCCATCCCATGAGGTACTTTCCATTGATTTGCACACAGTTTCTTTGTGTGTTGGGCTGACCTTAGCCTGGGATAAAATTAACAAGCCAGTACATTGGGACCCCCTGGACTGTCTGCACTGCAATCATGTATACCACAGGCTCCCTGTTCTACATGGTTCACAGGCAAGAGGTTCAACCTATTGGCCATACAGCTGTGAATGGATATGGCAATATCAGCATCTATTTTTACCCAGACTGGTTAAACATAAAAGCTGTATGTTATTATCTAGTGCATATTATTATTCTGTATTCTGTACACGCAAAGTAATATTTATTCACACACACATGGAATGTAAATTTTTAGAGAAGAAACAACATATCAGAAGTTTTATTTTTAATATGTACATGTATAAAAGTTCATAGCACAAGACCAACAAAAGAAAAAAATCTAATCCAATTATAAAATACCAACATTTTGATTTATATGTCTTGGTTCTCCTAAAAAGTCTAAACACAAACTTTTCTTGAAAATTGTAAACCCAGGAAAAAAGTAATTTGGCACCAACAAACAGGAGAACAAATTGCATGTACATGTATTTTGCTTTTTTTAAAGCTCCTGTTGTAAAGTAATGAAATACATTTAAATCCTTCAGTCATTTCAGATGGAAACTTACAGAAATATGACCGGGGCAGATCCAATGTGTTTAAAGCAGACTCCCCCATCTAAACAAAATGTAATGCGTTTGTTCAAAATTAAAATGAATTGCCACAGCCTTTACCAAAGTCTGAAACAAATGAATGAAATTTTACAACTTCTGAAAAAAAAAAGATGAAAATCTACAGGAAACATCTGGATTTGACATCAGTTGACACCAAAGAATTTGTAGGAACCACAGCCTACCCCCTTCCAGTAAACTCAGATGTTAGGCAACTTTAAAATGCACTCACTTACATTTTCTAGAGCACTGTAATATTGATGGGACGCATTTTATTGCACCTGTAGACTTTAATTCCATTTGTTGATTGGTCATGTTACTGACATCAAAATAATTATAAGCCCTGGGTCAAATGCCTTGCTGCTATCATTTGGCTCGAATGAATTTCATTCTCCTAAAACTAGGAACCCTTATGGATCTGTTCTTTATTTTCCCAAGAGAACGGGGAAAAAACTGAAGAGAATCACACAATTTAACCGACCAAAGTGACAAAAATTTAACATCACTTTAACCTTTGACATACAGGTTTATGCAGCCACTGATACATGTACAGTTTGAAGCACCTTCTTTATTGCACATTGCAGGACCTGAATGAGACATAATTTATGCTTGCATAGTCCTATGAATAATTATAATATTGCTAGGGCTTGTTTGACATTTTTTCCAAAGTTATGCATGCATTTCACTTGGTTGTTAATAATGAAACGCGCAAAAAGAAAAAGACAATACTGAGCTACACAGGACTTTCAACATGTTTTCTGAATTGCTGTATATGTACTGTATTGTACATCACACATGCAGAGTAAAAAGTGACAAAATCAGGGAGTAGAAATGACACACACAAAGGACAGGTGGAGAAAATAACTTCTTGCAGCTGGGACAGGATGACGCAAAGTTTACAACTCCCAAAACTGAATCCTGTTTTTCACTTTCTCTCCTGTTATCAGTGGGTTATGTTTGTCTCAAGGAATTTTCTGCACAAGCTTGGCGTAGAATATTCAGTGTGACGACATTCAGACCATTGAGCACTTATCTAACACCTGCTCCACCACCAAGGACCCCCTCCCCTCCAATGGTGCATCTGGACTCACTGAGCTCTATGAAGACACAGCGAGCTGGCTATGCTGGGATTTCCTTACGTACTGTTATGCTTTGGGCCTCGCACGTAAAACAACAATGTTTGTCTCCACATTAAAGAAAAAATAAATAAGGGTCTAGCTCCGTGTAACTACAACTTAAATCAAATTGCAGACATCGATGCACGTATCTGCTCACAAGGCTCATGTCAATCATAAACCCACAAAGCTACATGTATCTGTCATGTTTTGTGGTGACCCCTCACCAGAAACATGTTTATGATGTCAAAGCAATACGCCAGGAACATACCGGTATAAGGTGGCCCACAAGAACGAGCAACCAGAAACGGATGTCATCTGACATTTGACTGAGACAAAGTACAGGGAAGCAGACAATCTTGTTGATGGGCATCATTTTCACTCAATGTTCAGCATGTTTAACCAATAACCAAAGCTGAAACATGTTCATAGTTTCAGTTGCTGAAAGACACCCCTGGTTCTACCAATCGACAGTATGATGTGTATATGGTCTTAAAGTAGGTACTGTATGTAGGCAATGTTTATCAAAAGTCTGAAAATTTGGTACTCTCAGTACTGCTCTGCTTACCACAGGTGTACAACAGTCCTAAAACACAGGTTGGCATATTGTATGAATCAAATTAGTCAAAAGAAGCATCTGCTTCTAAATCCACTTGTCTCTATTTCTGCACAGTCTCTCCACAGTCTTGTCACATCCGCTGCATAAATGTACAAAATGTTTAGGGTCAAAATTTGGACAAAATTTGCGACACGTACCTTTGTGAATGTACGACTGTCATGACTGTTCCTTCACATTGGCCTATTAGCAATACTGGCACTTGGCTGCTAATACTACTACATGTAGGCCAACTAGGCCTATGCTCAGCATGCTTAGACTAGAGTCTTAGGCCTACAGTGTACATGTAGGGTAAACAGGCCTACTGAATCGGTCTTTCTCGTGTTTGTCTCATGACAAGTTTAGCATGTTTAGCAAATTTTCTGTCACAGAGTAAGCATGGTTATGATGGTAAGCAACCGAGCAAGTTGACACGACTTTGCTTGGAACATTTTTGTGTGCTTGCCTGTCGTGCCTATTCATGTTATAAACATTTTTAACGTTTGCAACGCATTATGGGACTTGGATGACAAACAAGCTATGCGTTTTATGCATAAACCTATGGGAGAAGTGAACCTGTAGGAAATTTTACAGTTTTCTTCAAAATATTTTTAAAGTATCTGCTCATTACCTCACAGATTTTCAAAATAACAAATAATTTTTCATATGCTTGTAAGAAGAAAAATCACTCTTAATTGTTTTTTTTAAGGGCACCAGTCACTCTAGGCTGAAAATAATGTGACTGGTCAATGCAGGATGAAAGAGCTACAAGTTGTGATTTCAATTGGCCAAGACTACTTGTAGGGCATTAATATTCACGATCTTAGTCAAAACACGGCAATGGCAGTGGGAAAGGTTTTAAAAGTGGGGAGAGGAGGAAAAGGGCAAAAAGCCCCCGAAGGGGTGGATCCAGGTTGATATTTTTTTGGGGGGGGGGCAGAAGTTGCAATGTACCTGTACAGGTCTCCAATGGCTGGTAGGGGCCTAGGCCTATAAAGTGGGAGAGGGGGAAATAACTAACTTTTCAAAGGTGAGCCCCCCCCCCATTCCAAGTAAAGCATGGTCCATGACAAAAACTTGTTGTTGGAAGGGATTCCCCAAATTTTTCTTGTGTGCCATACTTTAAACTTCAGAGTTTGTGAATATCTTCATTCTACCTATTTAGAGTTCAACTTGGGCCTAGCCTAAGCTCGTTAAGCATTACTTACTTGTTTTAAATTAATGCATGCTAAATGTTAGGCACTGCAACAGTGCCATGACCAGATGACCATGACTGCTAACATGGCAAATGAAATGTTCTTGGCCTAGGCCTACCCCCCGAACTTGGGTTCGGCGTCCAGTCCGCCGCTCTCCTGGCAATGGCATACCTGGCCTACGAAGTAGCTAGTAGGCTACTACTAGTACGAGTACGAGTGGCCTACGAACACGTCGAACCTTGGAGTACGGTGGACGACGAACCCCACAATAGTCTGCGGAAGAATGACCAGGTCCACGATGACTTGCACGTTAATTTTTCAGACATTATTTCTAACTGTCACAAAACATAACAAAGGCTACATACATTTCAGAACTATTCCTAGAGCTTCCCACGTCCTTTTCACCACAAAATGGAACAGAAGGAGTTTTAAGGAAATGTTGGAAGTCCTGCCGTGAGTCAACAGACGTCTTCCCGATCCCAGGTAGCTCTCAGTCTCAAGTCGTGCCGTGATATTTATACCGCTGTGCGAATTTGTCGATTCTTCAAAATCTCGATACCGCGAGTATTTAAACCGATATAGAGTATATCGAGTTGAAGTGCTCAAATCTGCCCACTCTACCGAACAAAACAACCATATCTGACTCTGAAACAGAATACAACTGTTTGAAAACAGTTACATTTTATGTGAACTCCAGCCATCATGATTTTGCCATCATATTGAACTGCAGCCAAAGTCTGAAGACATCGACTCTGTTTTAAACTAATCATTCATGCATGAACTAGCCATTAAGCATGCATGGAGCTATGCCAAAAGAATTGCTTGATAACAGAAGTAGAGGAAATCAGCAAAAATTTTCAAATGAAATTTAAAGTCCGGCATTGTATTGGTACCTAATTGGTTGAACAGAATCCAGCCCACTTCCAACTGAAAGATCGACAAATTACAACTGAGAAGAATACGCAGAAGTTTCTGAACGACCGAGTCGCGAAATTAGACTCGATACCTTCACATTCCTCGCGTGTGAGATATCGATTCCGAAGTCACAGCGGGAAACACTAAGCTGGTTCCAAATCAGTGTTATACTATTGCGCATTCTCGGGCTAACGACGTCCAGACTTATGACCCAGCGTTAGAAACCAAATCGTCTGCTCGCGGATCGTCTAGTGGGCCGTTTTCCAATACTCCCTTCCGTTCCGTTGCGGGCGGCATCTGTTTTTTACCACCTGACTTTGAACTTTTTTCCTCAAACATAAATCCAATAGTACCACAAGAACATCAAATTATATGCAAAATATTACAGTGCTTGAATTTGATTTGAACTCTTCGGACCTGCAATCGCGGATTGAATTTGGAGACCAACCTCTCCGTTAATTATGAATGCTGCCCTCTACGGTTTCTGTGCAACAAGACTGAGCACAAGGATATGCGAAAGTTGCGGCTATGGCTACGGCTAAGAATCCGATGAATATGAAGGGTGCATGGCATCGTGATCAGAATATCGAGTCAGTGCTCTTAATTTACCTAAATGTATCACGACACGCTTATTCAAAACATGTCAAAATTGTCTTAACCCCCCCCAAAATAAACCGGCCTTCAAGTTATGCATGTACACGGATTTATTAATAACAAAGTTACTACCATCGTATGAACTGCATAAAATGGACAAACTGAGTGCTTATTCATTTTAATGATTTATTTAAATTAGAGACACTCTTGGAAAAGATACATAAACACCACTGGCAATACACTGACAGCACCTGTGTGAAAACAACACATATTGTGTGCACATTCTGATGAAAACTAGTTGAATGTATATCATGAAATGCACATTCTTGCGAGTGGTCACTCACTACCATCCATATTTCCTGCATAGAATCCAAAGCTAAGAGCGTATTGTACGCATGCATCATCCGATTTGTGGACATTCAGATGAAAATTTGTCAAGTGCAACACACATGCAAAGCCAGTAAGTGAACGCAGAGTGTTCCATGCACAGACATCCTGTTGTGTGGTAACACTGCACCATTCACTTTTCCAGCAGGGAAATTCGTAGCTGACAGCCTAACGCGTGCATCCTCCAATCTGTGTTCAATATAAGCACAGACATCTTCCGCAATTTTCCAACACAAATCCACAAACGAAAAGAGAGAAGCTCAAAGGCCAATTAAAATTCATCCCATTTTAAGCGCATCAAATTTACTCGCTGCATTGCCAGACATACTTCCTCGATTAAGGAATATTTTACCCCATATGCATCAGATGCATTCGACAGAAGCACAGCAGGTCTCAATTGAACATGAAATCACCCACTTTCTAGAGCATGGAAAATTACCAGTTCTCTTAACATTAAACCTTAACTCCAGTGTCATGTGGCATACACGTACTAAAAACGGGATCGATTCTTGGACTGTTTCCTAAAAGACTAAACAGACTTAAGTGAGCAAAAGCTGTTGCAAAACATGCATATATTCAGAGTTGGAACGGCCATGGAAGGACAAAGAACATTGTACCTGTCTACCAAGAAAGCCCCCTTGGATCCGTCTTCATTTTGTCACATTTCAAATGTTTTCTGAAAGCATTTTTGTGAAAACGATCTTCCCGGTGATACAGCTGCGTACAAAGCTGTTGCCTTAAAATAAGCAGAAAGTGCAATTATATTTACATTGAAACTAACTTTAGTAAAGAAGCCTTTAAAAGTGGGAGATAGTCCATGGTCTCAAGAATGCCAAGATAAAGTTTAAAAAAATCCTCTGACAAGCCTTCAAATAACTCCAGTCAAATTGTCCCTGATGCTCATACTGCTTATAAGCAGACCAATTCCTTGGCTGCAGGCACTGTCAATACAAAGCACTAGGCCCGTTAAGGTCACTGACTTCCACTTCAGGTACTGTTCTTCTTTAGTGTTCAAGGAGAACGCAAATCTCTCAATGGTCAGGTCCTTTGACGGATATTCTCATCTAGTTCATTTTGTCCATCACTACTCTGCTACAGTACTGGGTACTAGACGTCCGACTTGTGGTCAAATCTGCTCTTGTGGTTTTTCACCATGTAGATGAAGTAAGTCAGTGCTTCCTTCTCATTGACAGGAAGCGTCTTGAAATGCCTTGCCACCATCTACATGTAAAAAAAATTGGAAGGCAGAAATAACTGATCAATTTAACAATTTGCTTGCTGTGCATAATTCTTAGTTTACTTGGTCAGTGAACAGTTTTTCAAACATCCTAAACAGTGCACAGATAAAATCGCCTTCAGGAAGAAATCCGTTATTTTTTGTTTCATTCTGGATGACATAGTGAGCATGCAGCGCAAGCCCTGAAACAATTATATGTCAGCCTTGTCTTCACGTACTACCTTGAGCGAGAGTGGGCGCAATATCTCGTCATGGGAATGAGGTTGATTACATGTATGAGCGATCGCTGGTGAACAAGCATGGCTCACTGTATTCACTTTGTTACAAGTTGATAGATAGGTGCGGTACTTCATTAATCGTAAGTAAGGGAACCTGCCTGCCGGTGCTGATACATTCGAACCAAATATCCAAACCGTAGTCCCAGAATACAATCATGTACTTTACTGCAGCCTATTTTCGATTTTGGAAAAAGCATGGGAAAAGACTGAATTTAAGCTCAGATTTTATTTTCACATTTTTCAGGATCCAGATTACACAAGCCTCGAATCAAGTAGTGCACGGCTCGATTTGCACCGCCAGGCCACGCTTGAAAAAATGGGCCGTGATTTCACAAAACTGGGCGTGCAAAACGGCTGCAAACGGCTATTTTGTACAGTTATTTCTCCGGCTCAACAAAATTTGAGCTGAAATTGTACTTTTTACCCGAAGTCAAACAAGACTCCCCAATTCACATTGCTTCAAATGGTCCCAATCTGCAGATGATCCACAAGTTCTCAGCATCACAAGGACCTAGAGTTCATATGCTATTCAGCAATAAAAAAAACCCACCTCGGCTAATTGGGCTTTGTTGAGACCAGGTTTGGTCTGGAGTTTATAGTGACGCTTGTATCTCCTCAGTGTGTTGACTTGAAGCTGAAACAGGTCCACCTGGGTAGAAATGTAACCAAAGATACAACAAATCTATAAACACCCGTAAACTAAGAAAACCTTAATGAGGGCTGAGGGAAAAGCACTCCTACAGTGAGCATGATGGTCTCATGAATATGAAACAACTCTGATCACCAACGTCCAGTGTTTCTTGAACGTAAAACACATCTATATCACATGTCCACAATGGGCTCTAAATTGAAAGCAGAGCTTGAACTTTCGTTCAAAATAAATGGCAGACTATATTTACGAAACTTTCTCAGGTGTGTTGGAGTGACTAGAAGGTCAATTGCTGTTTGGTTTCTCAACAAATGAAATATTTGTAAATGCTAACAAGGTGTAAAGTCAACTGATACTAGTTCTAACAGCTGTGTCTCATTCTTGTATGACAATCAAGCATAATTTTGACCAATAATTTCCTGTCACCAATCTTGACTTTTGCCTCATCCTTTTCAATGAAAATTTTTCAGTTTACATCCCTACTAGACAATAAACAGAATGAAGGTCACTCATTCTTTAAATTGCTCATTCAGGGATATGCACATACGATTAAAAAACCTCAGCAACTCAGATACCCTGTTTTTCAATTTAAAAAACAAGCTGGTGAATATTTTCACAGGCCTAAAGACAACACCGAGTACATAGTATTTTACACATACACATCAGCAAAGGGTGAAATACCTGTTGCGCAAGAAAATTCTTAACGCTCCATTTTCAAAATGGTGGATAAAACCACAGTAAGTGCTCACAGAGTGGTCTATAGATTAGGCCAGAATGAGATGGAAAGTATTTAATTTACCATTAGCCTACTGCTGCGTACTTCTGGCAGGTCAAGATCACGGTCTGGTGATATGCCTGCTTCGTCGTCACTGTCTCTTTTCTTCCTCTTGTTTCGCACGCTCTGTATAACACCCTTGTGAAAGTCACATATGTAGATATGTCTGACCTATGGATGCAAAAAGAAGATGTGTTTTACAAACACTGGTCAAATCAATCATACCATATCATATTATCATCATCGATCGTGTCGTCTGGAAGTTTTCTTCCCGCCGTTAATGCCCCAGATGCACTGCCATTGCTCTCGGCCTGACATGAGACCCCACAATTCTTGCTTCGTTGCACCCATATAGTTGCAAAGTGTCTTAACATACATGTGGGACAACTTTTTCTTTTTCCTTTCGCCTTACATTCAGTGATCAGATGAGGACCCTTGGAAATGAAATATAATCTTGCGGGTACACCATGGAACCACTCTCTTTTGTAAGGAGTGTGGTTCTTCGAAGAGCCAGTGTTAACTCGATATTTTGGCCAGGATACTCTGGCCATCCTCAGGAGTGCTTCCAAAATAGATTTATTCCACAGTGTACCCGAAAGCCTATATCTCATGTAACTTCCACCATGCAAAGCTTCAAATCTTACTGACCCTTGGAAATTGTCTGGCTATGAATCCCAAGCTGCACCAACAGAGGGCGCAATTTTCCTAGTAACAGCAGCTCCTTTGGTCAGAACTGCACTTCGCTGGTTCACAAATGATTATGAAATGCACCTGTTACAGACGTGTGGCTACCAGGAAAATAAACACTACTGACTAGCAAGGTTCATTACAACCCATGATGGGGGGCTTCTGCTAAAGGCAGATACCTTCCATAACCCTAACCCTCCTCAAGATCATTTAAAATTCACCAAGAGTTGGAGGATTGAGGAAGACAGAATCCACAAACAATTAGGTACATGTATAAAGGCCTGCTCCTTTAAAGTTATGTAGGGCTGTGCCGAATATCTGAATATCCGGATATTCGATCAAGTATCGAATATTCAAATATTATTTTCCGAATTTGAATATTCGAATGCAAAATTTATAAAAACAACGGGAGAATTTTCTTCAGTTTTAAATGAGAAAAATTGCACTGTGGAGGCTTGTTTCACGGACATTCAATAAAAAAATGTCAGAAATCTTACAATGATTCAAAAAGAAAATTATTCATTAAAACTTTTTAAGGACATGAAGCATTGTTCCTCTCTACATCTTGCTAAATTGTGACTGGAGATAGTCCTCGACATGAGACGGTATTATAGTGATTATAACGTACAATTGTGTGCATTATTCTAACTAATTTTGTATACGGATTTTTCATCAACAATCTGCCGAATGTTCGACCAAATTGAAGGTCAAATATTCGAATCGACTCAGCCCTAAAGTAATGGTCACAAAGAAAAAGCACTGTTACCTGCCGAGAGGAAAAATTTTGGAAAATAAGGGCCTAAGAGTCAATACTGAAAAACGTGAACAGCCATCCCAGAGGAATCTCAACGATCTGAGTTAGGGCTTAACAACAGGAATAGGAAGGTTGGCTTTCCAAGTTTAAGGAAAGCTGTTCCCATGCAGGGTAAGCCAAGAGAGAGATGTCTTTTAAACTTACACTGTGGTCAATGTTGAGCTTGAGTTTGCGCTGTTGCACCGTCTTGGCGATACGTTTGCTGTAGCAGGCATTCCCCGCTGGTCTGGAGCAGCGATTTCCGTCATCCACAAGGCAACAGATCTGGCCATGCCCCGAGTCGCGACTGTCCTCCTCGGTGCTAAACCCGTTCATTCTCATAGGTCTTCAAAGCTATGGACTGAACAGCCAATGCCCAATTTAGCCAGCTTGAAATCAAACTCCTTAACTGTGAGAGCCTAGGATTAAAAGAAATCCATCTACCTCATCCAGTGGGGTAACAACAGCGACAAGCAAACATTCTGAATTCCAGAAAATCACAAACCTGACTTGGGGGAATTCATTTAATAATAATAATGATAATTTACAGAGCACACTTATCCGGAAAACCGATCAAGGCGCAATACCATTATTATTACCCCTGCTCACTGGGCCCATGAAACATTCCAAATACCATCTCAGCTCTCTGGGGAGTATACAGTTTGATGCTGCCATTTCGGCGCAACGCAGCTAACTCAACCACAATAACCATCTCTGCCCTCACAGGTACCCAATTACAAATGTACTCCTGCGTGGAGAGAGGCAATGAGTGACAAAGTGCCTTGCCCAATGGCACACACACGCACCATGACCCTTGGCTGGATTCGAACCCGCAACCTGCTGCTTTACACGCCGACTACGAATCTGATGATCTTAACCACAGGGCCACGGCATTCCACAAGAAATACAGTTGAAACAGTATATGAAATACAGTTTTCTGAATCATCTTAAAAGCATCAAGGTGTAATGAACACATTCTATGTACTGGAACAAAAGTGGGACCTCAAACTCATTTGAATGTTTTGTACCACAGAAGAAAACTCTTGTGATCAAAGGGCAGTTCATTATTTCCCCAGTTTTTTGGTATCCAATTGATCCATGACAGAAGTGTTATCGAAGAATAAATCTTTCGGTACATCTTTCTGTGAAAAGATTTGGCACTTAAATTATTGAATTGCATTTGGGTAAGAGAAATACTTAGCCAGACGTGTGTGTGTGCACTTTTAGTGCCATAAGGATTTTTGCATCGAGTGTTTGGCTCAAAAGCGATGAAACTAGTTAATTTTATTAAGTGCCTGACGGTGCAACCTCAAAAAGTGCCTCAAAAAGTCTCTGGTTTCTAGATCAGGGGTTGGCTTCAAAGTGATACGGCGACATGTTTTTTTTTTTTTTTCCCTCACTTTTTTCGCTCAGAAATGATGTACAGGTATGTGTGCTTTAGAACACATCGATTGGACCCCTCACTTTTTACTGCTTAAAAGTGTTTTCAGCTTGTAGACTTACTGTGCTCTAGACATAAGACCAACTTTATTGTCTGGTTCCCGGACATACATGTACAACTGCGAAGTGACAAATGTCATTTGAAAAGAGTGCTCGACTAAACACAAACTGTATGGGGGCCTAAGAGGGCCTCTTTCCTGTATAATTTGATTGTACCTCCAATAAAAACAATTTAAAATCACACAGCAGCAGGATTCAAGTCAATCAAGCAAGTCTGGTAGCTTTTGGGCATCAGAATCTACCAAGTAAAAACTTTTTATTTTGCCGATGAGCAGGTCTACCGTGACGCACACGCTGACTGGAAACCCGAGGTTTTCTTTTGGCCAAAGTTGGTACAAGCACAAGCGTAAACCAATACAGGATGGTATTCCAGTTGACAAAGGTTGACAAATTGGTGGAGAAGGTACAAGTATGAAAGATGACTGGAAATCCTGATACAAGTTTGAACAACTATAGTCTATCACAGTGCAACAGATGCCAGTTGAACATTGGATAGTTGGACCAGTGTGCTCGACCAATTTGGAACCAAGCTGGGGGGAAAGGTGGCAATGATTGATAACCTTCCCCTTAATTACAAAGGTAAGTACAGAGGTCATTATTGCGATGGCAGAGACCATAAATGCAATGAAAGAGACAACCAAAAGCAACATAAACGTGATGATTTTACAAAAATGTTGACATAGGATTTTGAGAGAGAAACTGTACAGATTTTACTGCACTTGTGCCTTGGTCAGAAGAAACTGACATGCGCTCAAGCAACACTTCAACTTTCCCCCTTTTGATAAATCAGGACATGATTAAGTCTTACCCAATGGGGTTCCTTGCTTTGAGAGGGAGAACGAGGAGCCCCATAGTTTTAGGGTAAATCAAGCCTTGGGCAAGGCAATTTGTGACTACATACCTAATGCCATCAAGAAGCCTTCACGTAAAAAAGGGCGCAGTACATGTAGGTAGTCTAATAGTATGGCCCTACCAGAGCTGGACTACAGGGGCTACATGCAATAGTAGTGCCATTCTTGGCTCTATGGTCATACAGACACTATTTGGCAAATAGCCAGCCACTACCCCCAAAACTATGGAATACTAAGCACTCGCACTGCTCATTTCAGAGAGCAGAACATGCAACTAACCCCATTGTTCTCCAGGTAGCAGGCCACCATGTGCTCGCCACCAAACAACAAATTTACAACTGGCAGAAGAATTGCGTCAGCCAGCCATTGCACAATGTACAAATTGGATTCTGAAAACATAAAATCTGAGACAAACAAAACTCAACATTCAACACTGCGTGGGGTTGTCTGGGGGGCGTGGCTATTAACTCACAAACAACAATAGGTCAATTCTACCTCATCTTGCATGTTTGCTGTACAAGTCCACTCAACTTGTTTAAAACAACCATGTTATATAGGGCCAATGAGGAAAAGTTGTCCTCAGGTCATAGGCCTTTTTTGAAAACCTGAAGTGCGAAATGTAATTTATATCTTCGGTAACATATATAACAATGATGCATCTAATAACATAACATGATAGATTGTCGGTCACATGTACAACATCATTCAATTCATTTATAGGAGGAAATTCACAAAATAACCTGAGGCTGAGATACGTTGAGAATCGCCTTTTGTAACATATGGACTATCGCTTGACATGTCCAAATGTTAAGCGGCGATAAACAGAGTCCACTCGGACTAAGGCTGAGACAATCTAATTTAAAAAAAACCCTTTAATGAAGTTAGGAAACATCGCCTTAAACATGCTAAACCAAGTAAACCATACAGACGAGAAGCACAAGTTGGTGTGATGTTTCCTCTGCAATCGGTGGTAGTCGGAGTAAAATGGACCCTAAAAATCGCCTTTTTGGACAAGATTTGGACATGATCAGGCGTTAGTCCAAATGTTACAAAAAGGCGATTTTTAGGGTCCATTTTACTCGGACTAGATCGGGGGATGTTTTGCCAAACTGGGCATGCCAGGGCAGGCCTCAATGAATGACACAGAGCGGTGCAGATACAAGAGCAAAGAATAGGCCTAGTTTTTAGCATTAATGTGCTCGTCCGTGACGTCAAAATACAGTTTGACACAGGAAGGCCTAGGCTCTATATCATGTAAATTTTACAACATCTGCAGGCATGGCAGGTTATTTCCCGAAGTTATTTTTCGCACTTAGCACCATTTGCTAGGCCTACCGTGCCTACCGTGCCTACCATGCCTACACATACTTCACAATTGTTCAGCTAGAACCAACTTGCTGATGTTTAGGCCCTATTTTCTCATAACATGCTGAAGTAAGAATGTAGTTTGATGTCTTGAAAGAAAACAGCACAGGGCCTAGGCTTACCACGGTTCCCCTCAATACGGTCGGTTCGCATCAAAACAACAACCCGGTGTTGATGCACGAACTCTACGGTCTCGACGCAGGCGCCGGCAGTGCTGTCGTTGAATCCACCAGCCTTCAATCAAGCACAAGTACGTGCAGATATATCTAGCTGGAGCCGGAGATGCACATAACACGTGACAGGCAAGCCAACCTGTTTTCTCTAGCGTACCATATGCATGCAGCTAGCTAGCTGGGCAAGCGTTATGCACAGCTCGTCTGCTCTGGCCGCGCCGGCTAGCTAGCTGCACGCAGCTGCTTAGTCTTTGTATTATTTCATATTGGGCATGCTAAAACGTACGCCGCCGGCATGCATTATGCATAAACAACAACCTATGACAACTTCCGGGCTGTCAGGATGACGTCAGAAAATATAGACCAATCGTTTGAAATGTTACTGAATATAATGTCTTTTATTGAATAATAATCAGGACAATTTGTTTCGTTATTAATTTAAAGCATTCATCAAAATAGTTGTTTTGGGATTAAGTTAGCAAAGCTTAAATTGCTCTTGAAACTGACAGAAAAAATGCCACTTCAAACCAACAAATGCCATCGTGATAAATCTTCTGTTCTTCAACATACATGCATTAATTTGGCGCTCAATGTATCACATGACCAATGAGGTATGCGGGAGCTTTGCTGGCCATATGATTCCCAATTCGAGTTTTCATTGGATGAATCTTCGCTCCAACTTCGAAGTGACCAATCAGAGTGTAGCATTTCCTACCTTGGGCTTGTGCAGCCCTTTGCATAAGTAGCGTGGGTATGGGGAAATTGTACAGGCTGCCTACGTTGTGCATTGACTGCGTGTACACGTATACACCGAACACTGTATTAACACGTACTGAACTGCGATAGCGTGCCCTACACATCGCTGTATAGATAATTCATTCGACCAGCGTAGATAAGGTGAGTAAAACTTCATTTTATGGTCAGGAAATCCACTGAAACGTGGAGAAAATAATTTTCTGCACTAGTGAGATGTATGTTCTACTAATTGCACCTGCTTTCTTGTGTAAAAACAATTTTGAAACCGATGCTTATTAGGTCGTAAACTGGTACACCGAGTTGATATTTGTTGTGTTGACGAACATGCCGCGAGATTGCCATTGTCACAACGATTGAAAGAAATAGGGGCCTCGGAACTTTGTAAAACTGCCAAAATTTGCTGACAGGAACCAGTCACCTTGGCGCAAAAGAAACGTTTGCCGAAAGAGTGATACTTCAGGCATGATTAGGAAAAATCTAAACTGTTTTCACCGAGTGGGATCACAGTTACAGTCGTTTCTTTCCCGTGACCCCTTTTATTCTGGTTACCCCGACGCCATGCCGGTGCACAAATCGACCGTATTTTTCACCACGAAAAACTCTCGTACTGCTCAATGTACACTCCACTTTCGGTGCACAAACCTATGGGACGATTCTGAAAACATTTCAATCTTTAAGATTACGACATGATTTTTCGATTTATAGAAATATTAGGGCCGAAAGTGATATTTGAAGGGGACTTTCATTCATGAAAGGGCAGGAGGTGTTTTTGGGTGTCGTTTTTCGGGCTTTGTTTGACCTCGATTAAACTGCCATTTTGTAGCATTGCCCCACTACAACTCCATGCCTACATCGCTGTATATCTTCCCCCATACTCAACGCTTTCATGTACCAACCCAATAGGATATGCACTAAATTGATCCTGAACCCAGCGCGGACACTTTGAATATGCATTTAGGACTAAAACTCTTTCCGAAAGTGTGAAATCGCGGTGTTTTTGGAACACGTTCAGATTCAGTTTTGTGGCGGGTGGGGTCGGTGAGAGATTTCCTCCATGTTTTTTCGACGTCAAAAATGCAAAGTCTGTACCGAGGGGACAGCATGCTTTGCATGTCGCTTGACTATGGTCGGCCACACGTGTTCGTATAGTGCAGACTGCAGCGTATATTATCAATATACATCCACCATTGGCATTGAAGGGCTGTTTTCAGGAATGTATTAGGAAAATTTTGTTTGGTTTTGGGGGGATTTTAGGTTCCTTTTCTGGCATGGCGTCAGTGGCATTGGTGCACGTGCCTCATTTGCATAAAGTGTGTGGATTGGTCATTCGACCTGTGTTGGCTTTTCCATTGTCAAATTTTCAAAAGATTTTGATCAACAACCTGAGTAGGGTGATTATTGACTTTGCCATTTGGGGTTTTAAAATTTCCAAGGTGAGGTTGGCTTTGCACAATAAAGTTACATTTTATTTTAATTCTGCTTCTCCGGACACATAAATAGCACTAACCTGCACACATTTTGACAAACGTTTTCTCAATAGCAAAACTAAAACATTCCAATATTTAGTTTGCCTTTCTTAGTTATTCTCTGAACGGTTGTTTAAATGTTGTTTTCTTCCATTGCTATTATTTATTAAAGTGTAATTTAGTTACATGTTTTAATTTCTATTTTGGGGGAAAAGGTAAAAACAATGAAATTTAGAAAAAGTGGCTGCAGTTTGCCAGGTTGCTGCCTCTGGGAAAATGAATGGTTGCATTCCTTGGGACTGAGAAAAAATAATTGGCTCCAAATCGGATGAAAAATAATGAAAGCCCTTCAATGCATCCTTGGTGTTCTTATTTTGATAACTGATAACAGTTTCAGTTGAGTTTTAAAGAGCTGCAAACATTTTTTTCTACCAGTTTCTTGTGTAACTACAATGAAGCCACGTGCGTGCTGCGATGCGTGCGCAGCACAGGACAGCATGGTTTAGTTTCGTATGTGCGCTTAATGATTTGCGTTATTTATTACCCGGGACTCTGAGAGAGCCCACGGTTTGACACCCTGCGGAATGGACTCCTCAATTCTGCTCGATGGACCTGCAACCAAAGTAGGACGGCAACTCTGGCTGCAACTGTAACCACTTTATTTTACAATGTAAACATAAATAACTTTCATTTTAAAATTTTGTATTGGGCGTGGGGGAATATCTATTGTCTAACAAATTGAGTGTATTGAGTTCAATGTACTAATTCACTTATGAATCCTAAACTTGTTTGCTCTTCACTCTGTGAGTCTTTCATGCACTTCACTATTATTATTATTCTTATTTTTATTGTATTAAGGCAGTTTGAATTTTTTGTTCAATAATAAATTTGTCTGTTTTACACAGAATACACATAAATAATGTATTCGATGAAAGTTTATCTCACACAGTAATGTCATTTCTCTGAATTTTATATGTACTGTCAGAGTTTCTTAATAGAAATTTAGATACAGATTTGTTTTGGAAGTGGATTTTTAATGTTTTTGCACTTGCGCGACATGGGGGGGATTCTGGTTCATCAGCTCCTGAAAATGAATATAATTATATTCGATTTAATTGTTATAATTTGTAAATGGCCGTTGCAATCACTTTTTTTATTCTACAGTTCTTGGATTTGTTCAGCCGTCTTAAGATCCCAAGATGGGAAGGAAAGATCCAAACAAGCCGAAGGGACGCATGTCCTCCTATGCTTTCTTCGTCAAGTACTGCCGTGAAGAGGTCAAAGATGAATCTGTGAACTTTGCAGATTTCTCCAAGAGCTGCTCCGATAGATGGAAGGTATTTATTACATTTCATTTAATAACTAGAAGTTATTAACCGAAGTTTGCTTTCATTTCAAGCCAAGTCATTTTCCAATTCATTGTTCACAAATCTGTTCATGGACATGAAATTCAGAATTATTCTCTTTGTGAATATTGGACAAGTTCAACATCTTTTGCAAAATAGTTTTTGTCTGAAATCATTGACCATGCCATGCATGAAGTTTCTGGTGTTACGCCTACCTTCTTTCGTTAAAATCTGTCAACAATCTGTTTAAAATTGCAAACAGAATATGTCGGAGGGAGACAAGAAGAGGTTTCATGAATGTGCAGATCATGATAAGCAAAGGTACGAGCGTGAGATGGCGCACTATGTACCCCCTAAGGGCATGAAGAAGAAGGGACGCAGAAAGAAGAAGGATCCCTGTGCACCCAAACGCAACCTGTAAGTCATTTTCAGGCTTTTTAAATACTGCAATATGTCACCGGCTGTATCCCTGCTTGGGGCATGCAAGAAATGGCACGTACCAGTGGAAACGCTGCATAGCTCAGAGTTTTGCATGTTTGTGTTTTGCCCAACAGGTCAGCATTTTTCCTGTACAGTAATGATGAGCGACCCAAGATTAAAGCGATGAATCCCAGTCTAGGTATTGGGGAGATCGCCAAGGTCCTGTCTGCACAGTGGAAGAATGTCAATGCAGCCACGAAGGCCAAATACGACAATGCGGCCAGGATGGACAAGGAAAGATATGTCAAGGTGGGTGTTTCTGGAATGCAAAAACTTTCCCTCCGTAGTCTGTACCAACAGAAAAATTGTGCTTTATGGATTATTTCCAGCTCATGAATTTTCAGTGGTCACCGTAGGGATTAATAAAGGTTAATTGCAAATTTCCCTAAAACGTAACTTGTTTAAGTGATACGAAACTCGATTTTAAGATTTGGCAGCAAACCTTCAACTCGCCAGCTGATGCTATAAAGTAGCAGTGTCAAGATTGGCAAATTTGGGATACGGCAGCAGGCCTTGTGAGTGAAGAAGGTCACACTGTGTCCTCCTGAAGGCTGCCAAAATATGACCCCTCTGTTTTGTTTGCCTTTCATGCCAGGCGATTGCCGACTACAAGGCCAAGGGCAAGATGAAGAAGAAGTCCTCCTCCAGTTCGTCTTCCTCCTCCTCCAGCTCCAGCTCAAGCAGCTCTAGCTCCAGTGATGAGGAGTAGACTTACCACAACAGAAAGCCCATGTCAGTTGGAACAAGAGGATCTTCACAAAAACTGCTTGCATCCTGCAGAAAGTTCTGCCCATTTTTTTCAACTGGATAAAAAAAAAACCGGCAGGATTGTCCATGCCCCTTTTAAATATTAGCAGTTTTATCGTATTGAACCTGAAAGATCCTTGCATTCTTTGTCCCAGTTTCAAAATGGCTTCGTAGCTTTCCAAGGAGAGTTTGGGATTATTTACAAAATTAAGTTAAAGCACCTTCTATATGTTCCTTTAAAAAATTGAAATTTTAATCTTGACTGTTGGATCCGTCATTGTGTCACTAATTGTGTTTTATCAGAGTCCCTGAAAATGTTTGAGAAATAACCTACTTGTAACAATGTTATATCTAAAAGTGTACGCCCAAAACCTCCAGTGTTTGTCCCATTGATACTGTTTACCATTTTTAGCTGCTCTACATTCGTTTGATTTGTTTTAAGTGTTGTTTATATGAAATCTTTAAGAAACTATTTTTTTTTGTATCATACCTAGTTGTCTGTAGTTGATAGTTTCTTCTTCCATTCAGTTGTGCCTCATCCTTAAACTGTGAAAATGTTGCAAAGTACTTGAAAAGTTTGACTTTACTCTGGGGAGTGGGACCGACCCTTAAATATGATTGTGAGAATAAAAAATTTAGTACCTCCTGTGATTTCTGAGAGATCCAAGCCTTTCACTGAAAGAAGTCCCAAGTCAAACACACAAAGCATGTTCTTTTGAATACATATACGCACCAATCATACCTCAAAATGTTTCTGGTACATGTATACACATGGAAGCATAGATTCCATTGAGTTGGTTCCTAAAGTGTGTCTTAGTGTAGTTGAAGTTCATTCACCAGATTTTAAAATGGCATTTATCAGAGATATTATTGCTAGTTAGTGATTCATGTGTACAAAAGAACTGAATGGCCATGTGTAGTTTGGAAAAACGGGGGGAATGCATCTTGTCAGTCTGGAAGATTTCAATTCTTTTAGTTGTAAATTTATCATGGCTGTTAATATCGAGCAGTTAAAAACTTTTGTGTGGTTATTGAATAAATTTTTAATGTAACCAATGCTTGCTCCTCAACAGTGAAAGGTGATGAGTTAAATTTTTCCCAGCCAAATGAAAACCCGAAATGCAAGTGTATGGTGGCTGAATTGTTGGTTGTTGCTTCATTTTAAAAGGAATTCCTCGATACTTCTTCTTTATAAGTTTGATTGTAATGCACCAACATAAAAGCAGGAGATCTCAGTATGTAACTAAGTATGTTCAGTACAATATATGTGTACATTTTCTTGAGGAAGACTGGCTCATTACCAAAACAGTTGTCACGATAAAGTTGCTGTAATGAACTCGACGTTTCTTGTTTCAAAGTTCACTAATTAACATTGGAAATAAAAGCATTGGTTTTTATGGAAGTGAATGGATTGGCTAGTTTTACGGCATTTTGGTTTCTGATTTCAGTTGTGGATATATGCCAGTCACCTGTACATGTTCCAAACGTGTACTTGTCTGGGCACCCAGCTGACTTGGTCTTTTTGCAAACATGGTTGAATTTTTAGACTGGCTTACAGGGCCACGTGTTTGGGGAGGGGTAGCGGGGAGATGGTGGCAGATCCAGTGTGCCAACATTTAATCATTTTGATCTTCACATGCATAAAGAAACCTGTAAAATGGTCTGTTGGCTTTTTACATGTGAAATTAGAAGTATTGCAAGGTTTCTGAACAGTGACACGTACACTTGGTGACTTAACTGTTTAACCCCTTCGCTACGGATGACTGCTACTACAGCACCTTTGTATGAGCATTAGTGCATACCACACATACAGTCTATTCACCATGCAGCTGCTGGTTCAATAGGGCCTGCTGCTGGACGTGAAGGGGTTAACTAATTCCCCCATCCCTGAATGACGACATGAAATTGATAAATACATGTATGTGTACCCAGTAAATCAACAAATTAGTAAATCTGGTACATTTGTAGAGTGCAGAAGAAAGGATTCTGTAGACCTATTTAGAGTGACATCTGGCGTTGGGGGGAAAAAAAGGTTTTGATGGGTACTGTGGAGGACGTCTCTCTTGCTTCATTAACTGTACTCGTCTGTCTTGCATCTTCATGTAGATCTGCTAGTTCAGCATGGGAAGGAAAGACCCCAACAAGCCCAAGGGGCGGATGTCCTCCTATGCATTCTTCGTCCAGTTCTGTCGAGAGGAGCACAAGGAGCGCAACCCAGGCCAGTCAGTCAACTTCACCCAGTTCTCCAAGAAATGCTCGGAGAGGTGGAAGGTGAGTCAGCCGGTGTGCAGAATGGGCTTCCAGAGCTACAGCTGTGGTTGTTGTCGCGTGCAAATGGGTACATGTACATGTGTTAGCCAGCAGCAAAGACCTTGGACAGACACAGCCTTATACATGTATTGTGAATGAGGTTTTGGGGTTGGCCAACAAAAAATGTTTTCTGTTTGATGACCGAGGATCGGGAAAGTTTTGGCACTGAAAGTTCCATAGTTGAAAAGTTTAGAATGAAATCAAGCAAATTAACGCTGTCAAGATTAAAGATTGCATTAATTAACATTGCATTCGGTACAGTAAAAGCACAAATACGAAAATCAGGTCATTAAATAACAAAGTTAAATGTTGAGTAAAACTAACACTCTTCGCTAATAACACACTAGAGTGCCATTTACTACACGGAAACAAAAAGCAGTTCAACCGTCTGAAAACCATGTGCACAGAATTTGACAAAATAGCAACCATGCAGCCATTCAGCAAGAACAGATTTTCAAACCTTTAGCATACAGATCTTTTGAATTGGATTGAACTGAATTGTCAGTTCAATTCTATCTCGTATTGGACATCCCTAAAAAGAGGTGGCTATCCCCTTTAATGTTCCCATCTGGCTCATAAGTTTCTTTGTCGTGTCCTCCTTATTGTAGCCCATGGTTAAAAGTAATTTGTACCTTGAACAGAATATGTCGGATGGAGAGAAGAAGAAGTTCCACGAATGTGCTGACCATGACAAGATGCGGTATGAGCGGGAGATGGCCCGCTATGTGCCACCCAAGGGGAGCAAGAAGAGGGGACGCAGAAAGAGGAAGGACCCCAGCGCACCCAAACGCAACCTGTAAGTGCCCTCCGGAAATGCGTTGTGTTTTTGTCTCTTGTGTCGACTTCCGCTTCAGTTTCGTGGATTCGGTTTCCCATGTCAGAGAGCTGTGTAGTCCTTTGTAGTGCTCATACAATGCTACATGTTGTGCTGTGGAAACATGAATGCGACCCGAGCTAATGAAATGAGTGCAAGTCACCATTGCCTCCTTAAGTGAAAGGCCCTGAAAAGAACCTTGCACAGTAAATCAGTGGGAACCCTGGAGATTTGACACCCACATATTGCCCATTTTCATCAGGATGTTGGACTGAGTGATGCATCCAAATGGAGAGCTTAGTTGGCTCTTCCTGATGTAGAATGAAACAGAGGAACTGAAAAATCAGGCCTAAAGACTCACTTGATGGCATCCATTCACAGAAGGATTGAATCTGAAGCCAGTGTTTGGAGCAGTCCCATTTGTTTTGATGCCAAGTGCCAATAAGTGATTCCGAAGCCCAAGATGGCAATTTCGGACGTTATTTTGACAGTTGCGTTGTTTTGACAATACTTGGGAACTCAGTGCCTAAGTTAACAATCTCAGAGGTCCGTGCCGTGTGGTGATTACCTGAGCAGATACGGTGAATTTGGCATACATACTGTTGAAGTATGCCATATTGACTAATAATTTCTCAGAGCACACTTATACACAGAAGAAATGATAGTTACACAGTCAGGGACCTCTTACTAGACCAGTGTCATGTGAATGTTTGGTATGTACGAGTTTTGCTTTTTTCAATTCCTTTTTCAGCCAGTCAATATGAAACTTTTTTCAATCACCAGGTCAGCATTCTTCCTGTTCAGTAATGACGAGCGACCCAAAGTGAAGGCTGTTCACCCAGATTGGGGCATCGGCAAGATTGCTCAGGTGTTGGCAGAGCAGTGGAGGAACGTCCCTGCAGCCCAGCGAGCCAAGTACGACAAGGCCGCCGTACAGGACAAGGAAAGATATGCCAAGGTGGGGTCCCCACCCTTGATACAAGGGGGGCCACACACATAGACCAACTTCCTATTGTACTCCCGGTGTTCTTGATTGGACTTTTCGTCTAAGGGATCCCAAAGATTTTCCAGTTATGGACCTTTACCCAACCATGGAGCCTGTTGTCCCATTTTCAGTCTACTGTGTCTTTTCTCATCGTGTACATTTTACATTTTTCTGTTCTCATGTACTACTAGTTCGACAGCAGACATGTTGAAGAAAACCAGAGAAAACTCTCATTCCACTCTCATTGTAAACTGTTTCAACCTGAATTCCCTTACATGGCGTTCTTCATTTTCTGAACGATAACGCTTGCCCCCCTCTTCCTCTATAACCGTTTTCCGGAGAGTGGGAACTGAGAGTGAACCTGGCAAATCCACACAATATACTCATCACTAGTACTCTGACCCCTTTTGTTAAAGATTCTGACAAGCAAAAGCATATTATGCACTTCTTAAATTTAGGGAGGATGGATGGCAAATGGAAAAATCGAGTAGTTAGTGTGAATGCTAGATTGTACGCATCCCTTTTTCACATCTACCCACCCAACAGAATCCCCTTGTGACACCAATGCTGAGTGCCTTGGCATCTCCTGTTTCTTTCAGGCAATGGCGGAGTACAAGTCCAGGGGCGGAGCACACAAGAAGAAGTCCTCCTCCAGCTCTTCTTCCTCCTCTTCCTCCAGCTCCAGCTCCAGCAGCTCTAGCTCCAGCGATGAGGAGTAGACTCACCACACCAACCCACCGAATCTCCCGACTCTCATCCGACCAGAGTGAACAGCTTATTAAGGCCTCTATTCCTCCCTTCCCCCACCATCACCCGCAACATTTCAAGCATTGAAAACTTAGACGGGGTTATTGGAATTGACAGCACAGAATGAGTGAAGTTTTTCATCTGTACGTTAAGTCATCACTCAATAGGACAAATTTTGGTGGGTTTTTTTGTTTGGGGTTTTCTTTTTCCTTGCTTTTTTGTTCCCTTTTGTTCAATAAACCCAAAGTGGATAAGTGATTGCATCAGTATTGGCTGGAAGTTTAGATGTGGTGTTGTATGGACTATTTAAGGTGAAAAAAAATGTTAGCATGTGTTGATACACACGTCGAAAAATTGAAGACTAATTCAAGTCATTCACAGGTCCTCTGTTTCATGGGTTTGTTTTCTACCTCGTACATGCAGTTGATTCTGCTGTTCTCGCTCTAAAGGCTTTGAAATATGAATCTGACGAATGACTTAATTCATTTCATGAGTTTTGACCAGTAAAGTGGAGAATGATTTTTAGCTGTTTTGTGGAAATCCATGGCTCTAATGACAATGATATATTTTGGTCTAGGTCCTGTGAATGAAAATATCATGCAAAGTGTTGTCTCTTTGTGGCACATGACTGCCTAAAAATTCAATGTTACATTAAAAGTAGAAGCTGTTTGCAGGTTATTTTAGTTATCGCCGTTTTATTTGAACATAATGAGTAACACACTGAGGAAAATACTGTGTTATTAACATTTTTAATGGGCAAACATGTGGATGTTTAGATGGCTCGATCTCCTGACGTTGTAAAAAAAAAATGTACTGTGAAACGTTGCATTGCTTCCAAGAAGTGCACTTGTAACACAACGTGGTCATTCTGTACAGGCTTGCGTTTATTTCAGTGAACAGAACATGTCCCTCATTTGTATTTCACAATCTTGGAAAGCATAGAACATGATCTCTTACATTGCCCTCGGCAAAATGAACATTGTTGATGAACCTTTTTCAAGCACATCGAGTTACTGGTGGACTGAGAGGACCAATTGTCCTGATAAGGAAGGTCACATGAAGGCGTCTGATTATATTTTTAGGAGATTAAAAGAAACAAGATTGAAATATTCATCAGCTTGGACAGAAGTCTGTTAACCTGTTTGTGAGATTTTTTTTAACTTGCTTGTACATTGCATTTAGTGGAATATGAATTTACCACACTGTTCATGACCTGTTGGTCTGTTTTGTCATATAACCTTTTGCCTCGAATTAACACGTTTTGGTTCCAAAGTGAGGCAGCACTGGCGGAGGGAAGGCTTGCACGTACAGTGTAGGTTAAGCTGTTATACAAGAACCCTGTCGAGATGTTAGAGAGCCAGTGCAGCCTCTCTTTCAACTGGACCATGGGGAGAACAAAGGACAGCCATGTGCACATGGTCTGAGGCTGTGATCATTTAACTTGGCTGTCTCACAAGCTCCATCACATCCAGCCATTGCCAAGCAATGCAGACATTGCCTTAAATCCTGTGCCAGAGCTTGGGGCACATGGTTTGAAGTTCAAACACTGACTAAGTGCAAAATGGACATCCTTAATACTTCATCGTAAAGCAGTACCCACCCGTTAAAAAAAAGCATCATTTTCTATAGAAACATGCAAAATTTCTTTGGTTCATGAAGTTCAGAACACTGTGGCATAGTACCTCCACAAATTTATGAATGTAAACTTTAAAAACGGGAGACAACTCAGTCAAGTTTTTCCCAATCTGTTGAATTCTCCTGTTCAAATATAAAAAGTTAATCTTTCTCTGCTTTTCTATGTTAAGGGCAAACTGTGAACTTTAAGAGGAGATGGAAAACTGGGACATGTTAAAGGTTTGACTGGAGTTGTTGTTAAAGTGATTATTTGCATCTGTGTGTATAATAGGCCCTATTACTGTCTGAAGGGTCTGTTATGTCTGAACCTTGTTTTGTTTCCTGTATAGATGCTGCTGCTTAATATCCACAGTAAGTTTTTAGCATAAACGTTTGTGAGTGATTTCCAGTTTTTCTGCTCAAATTATTTACTTAAAATAGCTAAGTCATTTTTTCTCCCTGATAGCATAGCTTTTGCCTGATTGAATGTACTGATTTTCATCCTGTGTTTATTAACAAAAGTAGTATGCACCTTTTCACTTGAATGTATCAACGGGATAAAATTAATCAGTGCTTTTAAAATTTGAAATACTGAGCTTGATTGTTTTTACCCATTCTTCAATGATTTTTTTGGTTTATGGTGTGAAAGATGAGATCTTGGTGAGAGATTGAAAGCAAGTTATTTCGATGTTGCTTGCACCAACTCACAACGCAACGCAGGTGTGCCAATGTAGAACTCTAATTATATGCTCCAACTGACAAATAGTAACATTTGAATTTAAGGCTACAATTTTACCCTTTCACCTCAGTTTGTATATAACCACAGCCTTTGATTCATAATCATATCTGTATGTTATGATGCTTTTCTCAAATTTTTTCAAGAATGTGCACATCAAATCCCACAGAAAATGTACCTTGCAGAACAAAGAAGTTTTTTAACTGTGTAAAATGACTAAGGGAAACCCCATTTGTTTGATTAATTTTGGTAAGAGAACTCCCCTCTTTAGACAATGGGCTTAATTACTGTGATGTTAAAAGGCACTTAGTGTCGAGCGATTTTGGGATCAAAGTTCCTGGATAGATTTACTCTGAGTCACCATCCTTTTCTAAACTCCATAGAGAAGCACACAGAAAGGTAGCTGAAACCCACTGGCAAACAGTCGTGTTAACTTCTTGAGCTGGAGCTGTTACAATACTTTAGCCTTTGTTGCTTAGAATATGGAATATTTGCATAAAAATTTTAAAATGCCATGTAAGTCTCAAATATGGCAGTAACAAAGGTCTAAAATAATGGCAAATGGACTACAGGGTCATTTCAAAGACTTCATTAAAAAATTTCATAACTTGACTTGCATTGCCCCTTTAAATGAGGTGCACATTAATGGGAAACGTATCCAAACGGGAAAAAAAATACCTGTTTGATGAAGTATAACTGTAAAAGTTTGAGAAGAGTGTCCGTTGTATAGATTTTTGTAGATTGAATTCAAGCCAGCTACAACTATTTAACAAAGCAGCAGTTATTTAGAGAACGTTTTTGGCTGTAATTTGTAATGAATGCCCATTGTAATCAGCGTAATAATTCTTTTGCCAGTCTGTAGGTGTATTTTGAGTTAAGTCATTAAAGCATCAGCTTTTAATGTTCACCCACGTACATCCCTGGTTTCCGTTCTTTCCCAGAGGTTTTATTCATCATTAAAAAGGTATAAGCTTATTAATGACCAATGCAATTGGTCACCATGATAACTGGTCACTTTTTCACTTATGCAATCCATGCGAGACGTATTCAATCTAATGTGCAAATCCAACACGCAAGACCAAAACTATCTTTGATACTGACGTTACTTGGTGTCACTTTTCCAGTTAGGGGACGTTTGTTGGGAATGAATCAGCACTAACGTAAGAACTGAATGACAGCGATACATTTACTCATTCTTGAGATTAATGTCAGGGAAGCTAGATTCTGTTCACTGTAATGGAATGAAACTTTTCCAACAAGCAAGCATTTTCTGTTGCACGATCACTGCAGACCATGTGCCTCAAACGAATTCTTCCTTCACCACATAACTTGGATCATGACTTCAATTTGCTAATAAGAACAAATAAGATCAGGCCGCCAAAAAATTGTATTATACATCCACCTTTTATTCTTCACCTGTGTTAAAAAATATAGAGTCAACTCATGAATTTTAGGTTCTTAGAAAGGGCACAAATGGACAAATTAACAATGTACCTTCCATTGGGAACCATTCCAATGTAGGCGACAATAAAGGAAAGGTACAACTGTGACATGTCAGGAGAAACAGTCCCCATCTGTGTGCAAGCATTCAGACAGATCATGAGTCAGTTTACACTGACAAGCAGAGTTAGCAGTTTCCCATATGATGAACCTCAGGTGGTAAACAAGTTGGAGAAAAATGTAGATCATGACTTCTCACCGACTGCAATATTGAAATACTGTAAGAACTTTTTCCTGGTTAAACTAGGCAACATGGCCAACCTGTTGATAGCGAAGTTGCAAAGTGGCCCCTCCAACCCAACTACCTTACGGGCCCCACCAGCGGCGGAACGATTTTCAAAGTGGGGAGGGGGGCAGTTGTTGGACTATTAGGCACCAGCCATTAATGGGCTGATCCATTAAGCCCCACCCCATTACAGTACGTGTACATGCAAAACGTGGGGGGCCAGGACCCCCAGTCGAAAAAGTGAGGGGGCTACTGCACCCCCCCTTCCGCTGCCGGTGCTTACGGCATGCAGTATACTGTGAGTTGCCAAATCACTGCCATCTTTCTGATAAGAAATACAAAGAAACTCCCATAAGACCCGAATTCCATGCTTTGTGGAGTTGCTCACTTATAACCCAAACGGTGAAGAAGAAACAAACTAAAGACTAAATTGAAGATTGTGTACAAGCATAACCCCACTGCAGTAACGGTTTCTTTGATGGTAGTCACTTTATTAGTCATTAACCCATATTCTTGCACAAATGCTAGGGCTGACACAAGGCCAATATGTACTAAGAAAACAGAAGGAAGAACCTTTATGGAGGGGGATGAGTAGATTCTCAAGCTTCCATGAAGATCCAGAAAGGTACATGTAATTGTGACTGAAATTCTAAGAGACAATCCACGGAATCTGATGAATCTGAACCACCGATTGACAGTTATTGATTGGAGAAATTTACCATTCCAAACGAGTGGAACAATTTTGTCCTGTCTGCTCAAGGGCAACACTCCAAAGTTGTCTTAAAAATCAGGGCCAATAAACAGCACCATTTTCACCCTTTACGCTGTTCTTGTGAGGCCACACCAATTATGGGACAAAACACACAATCCACCAGACTAGGAAGGTAAAAGACATGGGAGGCTAGAGAGGAAAAAATTATGACACAAAATTTAAAACTCGTTCGATGTTTACTTGTTCTTCTTTCCTTTCCGTTTGGTTTTCTTCTTGGCAGGGGGGGCTGTCGTGGCAGCAATTGTCTGGGATGTCTTGAGGGCAACTGAGAGATCCAGATCAGCTGAAGGTTCCACAGGTATTCTGAAACATCACCCACACAATTAGATATGTTTCCTCTCAAATTCTGCCAAATTACTTTCGGTTATTTCTGAGAATAGTAAAAATGCCCAGATGAAATAAAGACCCCTTTCAATTAAATTTTTTATCACATAGTGCGTACAGGCCGAAGGGATGGCTGACTGGGGAAGACTTGATTCAAGTGTACATCCACTGCAGCCTTCTATATGTGAATGCAGTGCGCAGCTTAATTAATTCATTTTCACAAGTGGTCTTATGCCACTACATTTATGGCAAAAAAACAACACACTTTCAGTGCTCTTCGCTGAGATCAGCTCACCTCTTATTGAACCCAACCATGTCTGCCTCATTTAATGTGACTGTCTCAGCCTCCTCACTGCTATCACTGTGATATCCCTCCGCCACTGAAACAATGGAGAGAACATTTTCAGCTTGAATGGATTCAGGGATATGTGTGCCATGATTTGATCAACTTAGACTCATCAGGTACATGTTGCCAGGGTCATGCAATTATCACAACTGGTAGGCAAAAGTGGGACATTTGGATCAATCTTGGTAAATAAAAGATGAATCTCTTTTTTAATGTCTACGATGACCCAAGTTTATCTTTCTCTAAATCGTGCCAGAATAACAAATGCCTACTCTGACCACGGCAGTGTGTGTTGTGAGGGAGGTTGGTTTTACTCACTTTGGCAAATCATCTACCTCAGGAGTGTGTCCCTCTTTTGTAAATATCGCACACACTCACAATTATTTCCACTAACTTGTGCTCATAAGCCTGCCAACATTGGCGATGTCTGCATAAATGCTGCAGTGATTTCACAGAGAGGAAGATAGATGTAACCTGAAACCTGAATACCCAGCCTGACCAGTTGAAGTTTTATAATTCTGTGTTTTCGGAGCATTCAGCTACTGGTGTAGCCTCTGTGAGCCAAGTCCACAAATCACAGCACGTAATAAAGACAAACACACTGCTAAACTAAAGACTCCACAGAGTGAATACCTGGGATGTACAGCTTTAGTATCAACATATAACGCTAAACTCACCTCTTGGCTGTGATTTGCTGGCTTCTTTTCTCCTTACAGCATCCTCTGTTATGCCGTCATCCATTGTATCAACCTCCTCACCCTCTTCCTCAGCATCCTGCATCTCGTCCTCATCAACCTCATTCTCAGCCTCCGGGATGAGCCACGTGTTGGCGGCCCCTTCTCCAATACCTCCGAAGCCAGTATCAAACACTGCTGGTGTCAAGCCTCTGGAGAATGGATGCTTAGGAAATTTGTATGCTAAAAGCATGTGATGAAGAATTATCCATCATCAGGTACGCAGCTCCGAAGCCCATTCCCCTTCCCATCTCTTAATGACATCTTAAAGTCCCGTTGTTTTTTTTACCGTCTCACAGGTGGGTGTGGCAGCTATACCCCATCTCCCAATCTTAGCTGTTTCATAATCTATCTTTCTTAAACCTGACATGCAGTTAAAGACATCCATTAAAAGTACATAGGTGAAGGCCCCATTCAATCCTGCACAGGTTTCTGTAGTTAAGATCATATAAAATTGCTACCTTTATGCATGTCCCCTCAAGCATTAAGCACTCGGCTTACCAATATCTTTTGGTCATGTTGCTACCACTTTTATGAACTTCAGATGTACTGTTCTTGTAGATTGTCCAAGATAGGTAACAACTCCAAAAGGGTTAGTGCAACAACATGGTGTGTTACCATCAAATCAGAGAATACGGACAGGGGCAGACCACAACCTCAGCTCTGTTAGGTTGAAGGAACTGAAATCGTGTCCTGCAAACATGCAAGGATACGAGTCGTGGACAGGCTCCTGGGCTCTGTCGAGGACATCTTGAGCAGTCTCCACTGACTCGGTCGTGTCAACTGGCTGCGGCTGTGCTACAGACGTCGTTATTCTCTGCCTTGAAAGAGATTCAGCATGGCCACATTTCTTGCCTTCTGACCTAAAAACAACAAATTAAAAAAAACAAAACAATGAAGATCTTGACATTTGTATACAATGGAATAACCTTGAATCACATTTCTTATGGAACCCACACTTAATTTCACCATCAGGGACAGAGGGAATACAAATCGTTCTTGTTCCCAAATATCCACACTCAGATACAATGCTATGAATCAGTAGATATCTACATGCCGTTTACACTTGGATAGGTATCCTCTTGCACCATGCATGTACATGTACATGAAGCAATAAGCAAGCAGGTCTTGCCTACCAGACAGTGAGCATGTGCTACTTTATCTGCCCTACTGTTGGCATTTATTTGATGAAAGTTGCACAATAGCTGCGACAAGCGACATTCTCACCTTGCTTTGGCATCATTACTCAGTGCTTTCTTGATGAGCTCTGTTAACTCAGCCACCTTAACAACAGCAATCTGTGAACACCTCATGATCTGGAGAAAAAGAATCAGACATGATGCACGGCAACACTTCCGTTCATTTCTCTGTAAGCAAAACCATACCAACTTACTTTTTGCTGACATACCATCCAACTTTGCTATTTCTAAATCTTCCTTTATTTGTGACTGACTCCACAATAATGGGTATTATGGGACATTTTTTTCAAAATGAATTACACACACATTTAAATTGGTTACATTATAAGCTTCAACTTGGTGTAGGTTTGAACCCTGTGGCATTTTGCAATCTGGAGATGTACTGACTTCTGCATAATCATTTCATACACATTAACAGAAATGCTTTCTGAGATAAAGCCCTTTAAATGCAGGAAGTGGAAAAAGAAATCAGCCAAGAAGAAGTCTCTTGAATATCCATAAACAACAGTTGGGTTTCTTGTATGCATTGTGAAAGTACTGATATAATAGAAGGGAATAAACCAAGAGTGGCTCTCGCAACTCAGACCTCATTTTGTAAGGTGGGGACACATTTGTTCTCTCTATTGAACACCAGAGGCAGAAGTTACCTGGTCCTTCAATAGGAGCATCCCTCCTGTCATCTGGACAGTGCACAGTTCCCTGTGAGCATTCATGGCCACCACCATGTTGCCTTCCATCACCGACTCCTCCTTGAAGGTGGGATCAACCAGTAAGTACTTGCTGGAACGGAAAGGGGATCTTATTGAAGTTGTGTTGTCACAAAACAAACTACAAGTCAGGGGCCGATTTCGCTGGGGTGCGACTGGCTTGGAATTGCTAACAATGCATTTGACTATTTCCCCCATGAAAGCAGCATGGCTGTCTTTGCGGAGTGACAGCAGGTGAATTGACAAAATATTTTAGTGGACTGTCTTTTGTTTTTAGACATGGGGATGGACTCTCTTACCCTTGTTCAAAGAAGGCAAATGAAATACACACGGGCATGTGGTGGACACTCAGGGGAACAGGGTCTCTATCCTCAGTGGTGTGCTGGAGCAAAGAAACACAAAGGAGAATATCCACACAGCTTCTACACTGGCAGAGTGCATTAGGTTAACCCTATTAGCCAATTTTAATATGACATTGCACACACCCTAGGGAATGCATGTGAGTACGGGGAGAGGGATTGGAGCCACTGTATATGCCACATGAGTCCAGAGGGGAGGAGGGGTCAACATTTTGTGCCAGCTTACTTCATGGATGGGCCTAAAGGGTAAAAGACAAATTACGCCCTGAAAAAAAAAAGATTGCTTGCATGTCTTACAATTGTGACACTTTCCCCGATGACAGTGACGTCGGGCCTCCTGAAGTGGGACAGTGCAGCAATCGCTGCGATACTCCCACAGTCCAAGATGCTGCCATCGTGGTTCAAAACATGGACATCAACACGAATCTGCCACACCTACAAAGAGATGAATGGGAAGAAAAATGATGAGTGAGCTATACAGAGGAAAATCAACCACAAGCTCCAATCTCAGATAAATTTGCGATTGGTTCCGACACACCTGAACCTATTTTCAGTTGGAATGTCCGACTGCCGAGTTGCCCACTGCTGTAGACATGCTTTATATGTGACCCAAACATAATGGCTGCGGTCACTCTGAAGTTCAGATGGCTGGACTCTGTCCTAAACTCTTATGAGACTACTGTCAACAGAACTGCTTCAAAACTCAACCCAGGGAAGGTGGGTGGGCAATGGTAGGAACAAGCCAGGGTTTCATATTTTAATAAAGATGCACCTGTTGAAACACTGGCTTTACTAACTGAGCCACAAAATTAATCTAAAAGCAAGTTTCGGTTGCAAAGTTGTGCACATTAACTCTTGAGACATTTCTGAAATGACACTGAAATGGCTTTTGATGACTTAACCTTGACAATATGAGGCAATCACACAATCACTATGACCTGTAGGACAGTGTACACAAATTTGGTATGGGTTTGTCAGAGGACTAAAGGATAAAAAAGAAAGAGGCACACAGAATGTACATGTAGGCAGTGGACTCCACATGATCGTTGCACAACCTAATCAATATTCAATGTTATCTTGGGCATACTTGCCTTTTCTCCAGCTACAACACACAGTGATTCCATATCCACAGCCCTGGAGTCTTTCAGACATCTCTCCAATAGCCTGTTCAGTTCAACGCCATACTCCGACAATCTACCAGAAGCAAAACCAAAACTGTCTGGGGCATCCCGGAACAAACTGACACCAGAAGCTCTGCTAGATTTGCACGCAATGCGAATGGAGCATCAGGCTGCATCCACCATTCAAACTTCACACAAATTAAAGCTAGCAACAGATCTGGAAGTGGTACAGTCAAGTCCGTCACAATGTCTCAGGAGTTCTTACATGTCAATCACAAGTCATTGGCAAGCAAACCACTCCAAAATCAAGCCAAAGTCATTGTAATGAACTGTGACAAAAGCAACTTGCACATTAACTTATTATTTACATATTAATCCATGGACTTGTGGTATATTAAACTACAACACCAATATTTGGATATGTATATGTAAGGGAGAAATATAAGGTAATCCCTCTCAAAATAGAGGTATCACAAATCCTATTCCCTTCGATTCTATCAACTCTTTCACCAAGCAGGTAAAAAATGGCACAAAGTTCCCTCAAGGACCTTTAACCCCCAAGAGAAGCAACAGTAGGTGAGCTCTACCGAGAGGAAAAAACATATAAATTTTCACTGAACCTAATCCTTCCAGATCCTTCAAAAATTCACCAGGAGAATTCAGAAGATTTTGAATGATTGGGGAAGGTAAAGCACAACCTCCCTTACCGATACTTAACTCCTTAAAAGTACAAAGACGTGTTGTCAGTTCCCTGTAGAGTGAAAGATATTGGAGGATTCCGGAAGTCTCCTTACAAAAATCCAGAACGAAAAGGGTTCCTTACCTTCCTGGCTCGAAGCCAGGCGATGCCATCGGGGACAGCTCCAAGTTCACGTAAAGCTCCCCCTCTGTTGGCCGAGTACTCCTGGGCTCTACTGTCTCACAGGAGACCTGTGCAAGAACCCTACAAAGCATCAACAACCAGGTTATGGCAATACCAAAGGTGACAAACACCTAAGAACACAGCCAGCATCCTAGTATTGTATAACTGGTCCTGGATAGACCATGTAAATCACTGATTTAGAACTAAAAAATGAAGTGGTCAGTAAATGATTTCCAAAAATTCTTGTAAACACTCTCTGTTCAAGCACTGTCAGGATTTGAGAAATGAGAGTGCATATATTTTCTATTGAAGTTACAATAACTTCTAGATTAGTTTAATAAGTAAATAATTTTCCTTGCAGCAAAATTATATCTTTGTGATTTTTGGGGGAAAGAATTCCATATACGAACATCACTTGACACCCTGTGCACAAACCCTACTCATGCTAGTATGAAACTGGTCTGGAAAATTCTGAGTGTTTTCTAAGTAAATGCTTCAACGTTGTCACTGCTAAAATTGACTTTTGAGAACATGGCTAAAAGTATAGTAATAAACTTCTGCAAGGGAAAATCAGTGATGTCCATATGAAACTCTGATTTACATGTATGTTTAACAACGTAAGCTTTTACAAGCAAGGATCTTTCATCCAAATTTTCAACAAGTACACAATAGAGTGCAGAAGTGTGAGGTCACTGTGAACCAGAGAGTGCAGTGCTAACGAATGGGGTACGCGCGCGTGATGGTTTACGCACTTGTTTTTGCGCTAATGTCTTTTACACACTAATTGTGCGCATGACGTATTCACTTCGGTACGCTATACTAAGCCCTATTGCACTATTGTGCAAAATTACCCGTGCAGTATTTGCGATAAGGCTTATAAGTTATATGCAATATTTATGTTTTTTTTCTACAATTGTTTTTCTTAGCCTACCTTGTCTGGCCAAGTTGAACCTCACAGCATCCTCGTTCTGTGCCAAATGTTATCTTAATATTTCTGTAGTCATATGTCTCCCGTCCATCAATTCTCTGGAATTGACAAGGAACACATAATAGTTATCTACCCCTAGAATACTGGGGTCCAACGTCCTCTAAAAATTAGTAAAAGGAGAGGAGCGGACGTTGGACTCCCGTTCTGGGGTAATAGTTATCATGGTTATGTATACACATATACACAATGTTTTCTGAACAAGACAAGGGCGCATGCCCAGCATGCTCAGTGGCCATGATGAACACCGATCAATTAAATTCCTCACGAAATAGGTTCCACAGTTTATGACATGGGCCCAGCATGGCTAGCCTAGCAAGCACCGAACCTGGGTACGTCCCAGACCAGCCAAACTTGCAATGACACGATTTTGGTGGGAATTTGGGAGAAAGTACCTTTCCTGACTTGATTGCTGCTGTTAAGAAGTCCCTCTCGACGTTTGACAAAGGTGTCTCCTTCATTTTAATGTACTAGGGTCTACTAGCTTATTCGGTAGGTCGATAGATCATCGGCGAACAATTCAGTAATCCTATTTCGTAAATACCGTCCCCCCTCCCGCACGCGCACGCTACATACCGTACGTACGTACGTACATGTACATGTACATGTACGTATACACGGTACACGTTCCACGTTCAACCTCGACTCCATGGGCTTTGTGCGCGTTCCTTCACAAGCCCTGGTCTTGTAGAATACGAAAATGGCACTGACTGTACTGGCAATTCAGGACGATAAACGTGAAGTCAATCGCGCGCACGCGTATTTCAGAAGTCGTACGCTCACGCCCACGTATTCTCTTGCATGTTCGTCGCGGATAAACACACTATGTCCCCAAACCAGGTTAGATCGCGCAAGGCATGGGAACCAATTTAGCGCAGCAAGATCGTACCCATGGGCCAATGGGTACGAGGTTGGATACACGTGGTTTAGTCTATGGACGTACATGTACATGTGTACACCGTACTTCACGGCTAGTTCGTGGTTTCCGTTCAAGGTTCAATCACTGTATCCTAAATAAATCTCAACATAAAACAGCCGTATTCACATGTTAGCCATGTTGGGATTTTCCCTTGTGATTTTTTACTTGCAATGTAAATAAAAGCAGTTTATGTAATTTTAGTGCTGTTTATCTTCTCTGCATTTTTTTTAAACAGGTTGCACCATCAACTTTCTAAAATTGGACACAGGTTTTTGCACGTTTTGTTCGTTTTAAGGTTTATAGTTAAACCACAAAGCTATATCACCATACCATGTAATCGCAACCAGACCATTAACACCTGCAGTGAGTGGACTGTCATGCACATTTTTAAAATTCCAATGAAAAAATTTGCAAAATATTATATCACAAATATGGCTTGCCTATGCCTCAATCATCCCTATTAATAACTCGCTTCCCCCGTCGCTGTCTTCCGTCTCTTTAATCTGAAATTGGGGAAAATATAGGAAAAGAAAGTAATAAGTCCATGTACATGGCTCATCCAAAAAGCCTCAGCTACTTAGAGGAAGTAAGGCTTCAACCACATCTGTCGTTAACCATTGGCGTAAATCTGTGCGTAAAAAATAAAAGTAGAATTAAAAAAAAGGAGAATGTGTCTTACAGCGGGGGAGTGAAAAAGTTCGCATTAGTGACGGTGGTTTGGGGTTTGTTTTTGTTTCTGTTTTTTGGTTTTGTTTTGTTTTTACATTATTACTGATTAATCTATTTTTTGCGTGCAAATCAAACACTCGGGGTGGGGTGGGGTGTGGGTGGAGGATTCATTTACAAATGAAACAATGCGACATGGTTTTTGAAGAGAAGTTTCAATTTGCATATCCTCGGACCCAAGATTTAACTAAGTTGCCAAGAACTAGATTTCATAAATTTGGGACGATCCTCATCTTGAGTTGAACTACACCTTTAGTATGGTGCGTTTCATGCAGTTTAAGCATGGAGGTAGGAAAACCTCCATGTTTAAGACAGCATGAATTGGCACTTGCTACCAACATTTTTGCTTTTGTATCCGATCGGAACTGCGAACAATACAGGGTCACGCTCTGGTAACCGCGAGGCATTTGGAGTCCTGGGAAACTAAAAAGGTTTGAAACAGAAAGGAAACCCGACAGGAATTTGCTTAGCTTAAACCGAGTTTCAACACATCAAGTATTGTTGTCGATGTAATTAATATATTGTGGTAGCTCCCAGAAACGGTATTGTTTTCATCGAAGTAATGACAAATCTCAAGAAAGTAAAGAACTGATATCATGAATGGAAAAATGGGAACAAAAGAAACCGTCAGTGCGGCGCGGCTTGATGAATAGACACGCAGGAAACCCGCGAAAAGATTTAAGCCAATCAAAACTCAGAATAGACATTACTCACCCTGTAATCTTTTATTTTTAGACATGATTGACGGTTCCGCAAAGAACCGAACTCTGATTGGACAATCGTACATACCATTCATTGAAGTCGAACATTCTTATCTGTAGGGAGAATTTAAAAATATTGACATTTACTTGCTCGTATATAAAAAGTACATGGAAAACTATTCAAAGTAGCACCACCTTTGCAAATTAAATTTATATTTTGTTGCCTTTTATTTATTTTTGTTATTGTTATTTGACTTTGTATTTTGTTTTTCAACATCATATTTCAGTATTTACATCAGGTTCTTTTAACGTATGATTGTGGAATTTCTCGCAGCTGTTGACACTACTAGCTGCCCGGGCTAGCCGCGCCATGCCAACTGTCAGCTGATTATAGTCCAATTACTCTTGTCTCATCCGCCACAAACGCTATAGTACTCTGCAAATTCGCTTTGTAAATTTATCATTTTTTTGTCTCTCGCCATAATGTTACCCCTTGATGTAGATTATGTCTGTGTGAGATATATGAACCAAAACCTGTAAATTTTTGTATAGTTGGACAGATTAAGATCTTAAATAGTTCCTCAGCGCTAGGATATATCGTAACCTTGAGAGTGTAGCAGCTGACTGTGTGACCAGCTGTTTCCCGCGCCGCCACGATACGGATAATGACCACACATACCCCTAACCACGCCGGTTCAGCTGAGACAAAATAATAACAGTGTGGATTTTACCTTGCTACTTTTGCACCAATTTGGCCTGGAAAACGACCCCGATTTCAGGAAACCATGGCTTATTACATGCGCAAGATGGAGAAAGCATATGCGGATAGGAGCGATGTTTTGCCGAACCCGATTGTGACGACAGTTGGAAGGTAGGCCTACGTAACAATTTAAACCCCGTGTTGTCTTTTGTCGAAAATAGTATTTCTATCCGCCACGTGATTGACTATTTACGTTTGTGAAGAGAAGTAAAGACTCTGTAAAATGTCCCATTTAGAATTTATTTCAATTTGTTATCAAATGTAAAAGTCTTTATAAGGAAAGGGATGAAAATTCTGTGAGTAAATATGAAGACTTGCGGTCACATTTACAAAGAGTATTTGGGGGCCTTCCACGTGCTCAGCTGTGGGTACGCGTAAAGGTTACGATGCTCATGCCATCTCACTTGTGCGTTTAGCCCAATCGGTTGGTAAATGTCGACTTCGAAATTCTTTCTTGTGTGGGAAATATTTCCATACAAGCTGATCGATTGCATGTATGGGTGTTTGACCAATGTTGGTGTTGTTCTGTGGTCTGTATTCAAGGTGATGTGGACAGTTTGTCTTGTTTGAAGTGTTCGAGTTTGAAGGGTTCTCTCGAGATCCGAAACGCTGTTGTGTCGTGGCCGGTGCAGTGCCACGCCTTGTAGCTGCACCGCCTACACAACCTGCATATTGTTGAAAGCTATTAAATTATATTTTCACTGTCAAGTTTTCGAGCAATTTTTCCACGATCCATATGGGCATTTCCCTGAGCTTCTCATGTATCAAAATGTTGTGGAAACTGAACGACAAAGTGGTCATGGTGTCCTTTTTCTATGGTCGTTGTGAGCGTTGTTTTGTTTCGAATGGTCAATGTACATGTAAATCGTGTGGTTTGCCGCACGTGCGTGTCACACACACACACCGCACTGCACGTAGGGCAAGCGGGCAGGATGCAGTGTTTAGCCGGCTGTCGCTAAGTAATGCGTGGGTGTGTAATATGCAAATGTGGGCCTGGATAGTGGCCTGGAGATGTCGCAAGGTGTACCGTTATATTCAACGAATTTATGTCCGGTCAGCTGATGCTGAATCTGTTGTTGGGCATGTGGAACCAGCCATCCATGACTTGGCCGGCATGAGTGGATGCGCTTTTTTGCTTCTCTGGTTTGACCTACATATTTTGTATCCGTAAATCCATGGCGTTGCCTAGGGCATGTGTAAGAGGTGATACCCTTTCACGACTTAAAGAAAATAAAGGGGGTTCACTTTTATCTAAATGATGTCTTTTATTTGACTAGATCATGATTAGAGTAAGGAACAGAGAGTAACGGACCAGTACGGGCTTTTCTGCATCTCTGCGCGCACCTTTCGTAATTTGAGACAACCCATGAAAATTGAACTGGTAATTTTTCTTAAAAGAAATGTTCAGATGAAAAGATGTTTTAGGAAAAGAAGCCTTTTGGTAATGAATTAATGTTCGTGCAAGTCATTTAAAAGAGCTGTGTCTAACTTTTGTCCCAAATTCAGTATTACTACTAAAGGGGACAAATTTACCGTAATTTAACCCATTTCAGACGACTTAACCTGCTTTTGTAAATTATGTAAAAGCATCGACATCTATTAATTACAGGATAAAGCCTTTTTATGGGATAAATGTTGAGGGGAAAGAACCTAGGATCCAATCCATTCTATTCACACACTGGCGGGGGTGCTTTGAAAAGTGTTGTGAATTTCATGTGGAGATGTTAAGCATCGGGCCGCGGGGTGAGCACATTCCTACCTACAGAGAGAGTGGAGCGAGCCAGACGGGGCTTGTCGACGTCTCGTCTGGGTCTGGCAGTTTTCTAACATATGGCACGTGTGGCTGGCTGTAGTCCGTCTGTCCGATTCCCTGCGTTTCGCGTTAGGGCTAGGCATGGCACGAGGTGCGACATCACCCGATCACATTTCATAGTCAGCTGAGTGTTGAATTTTTAGGGGGCCACGGCGTGTTTTCGTTGTCTGCCCGACTGACCATGCGAGAAACGAAATTACCAGGTACCTTTGTGTTATCACGGTTATTCAAGTCAGTTGTGACATATGCAGTGTTTGTAATCACATTTTTTGTGTTGATATAAAAATCATTCGTTTCAAGATTTATTATGTCTATAACAACTACATGTAATAGGGTTTTTTACTCACATTTGTTTTTGTAATTTTTTCCTTTAGTTTTATCTTGGTTGTGACACATGCTTTTGTCAATGGATTTTTTTGTGTGTCTGTGAGCTGAAAACAAATATTACCTAATTTATGCAAAAGGGATTTATGCGAACTTATCTCAAAATACTAATTATTCGTTGTGGAAATAGCATAAAAATGAGCGTGATGACACAGGACCGACAAGTGACATTGATGACACATACATACTGCGGAAGCCTCGTCGGGGAGCTAAGCCGTCTTCAAAGACAAATTTCCTCTATTGGGAAATCAAAAATTACCCTCCATGACAGTGCAAATCTTGCAGTAACATTTAGGGGTCAAAGATTTTATGACTACCACCCAGTGGGTTTTCCAATACACTGGAATAGCTATACAAAAAACAAGGGTAGCAGGCTTGGCATCCAAGTTGTACAACACGTGCAGGTAGTCTTCAACTTTCAAGCATCACAATTTGAATGTTGACAGAACTTACCCAAAATTTTCATTATCTTGCACCTTTTTTTCCCAATGTACAAAAGGAAAGCGTTAGATATTGCAACAAATTAGCCTCTGTTTACTCATGCACAATAAAATTTGCACACATGGGCCCAGGGTTAATGAGATTATAAAGGCATAATCAGACTTTTTAAATCAGATTTTCATCAGTGGCTTCAAGGGATGACAATAGACTTGAATGTAACAGTTTTTTTATTCAAGAAATCAAAGTGTTAATTAATTAAAGCCACATTTCACACAAAATATATGTTGATTTTCATTCCTGTTACATGCCAAAAATTACTGCGTGAGATCTCCAGCCCTGATATTTTTGTAACTATTTTTGGGTGGCAGTAGGTGGTATGCATTTGAGAAAAAAAAAATCTGAAATCAGCTGTTACCATAAAAAGCCCATAAAAAGAGATTTAAAGAACACCCAGATTACCCAGACACAATACAGTGTACTTTTCTTGCATGGTGTAGTCTACATGCTTAAGACATGTTACATCCAACAACAAAGCCGTTGGCACTCAGCCAAGTCTGGCACCGTGCCAAGTCACTGCTGTGTGGACGATTCCAATGGTTCAGTCCTAGAGGGGTTTTTTATTTAGCCACAATCATTTGCCCGGCTGTTCGTTACATACAATGTTGGTAAATGTCGAAATGTAATGATAAATTGCATGTTGTTTCATCTAAATCATATCCACCTAAAACCTGCTGTGCAAGATAATGTGTGTTTTGCTTGTTACATGTACATGTTTATTATATAAGATATGCAACGCTGTTTTAATTTTGGAGTCGTTTGTTTTATTGGGTTTTTTTTTTAGATGTCAAAGCTGTCCATTTTTTAATGCATTTGAAAATTTTGGACAGCAGGTTAAAATTTGCAGTTGGTTGTGAGAAATCCAAAACTTGCAGGAGGATAGTCAATTTCAACATGGCTTATTAGGTTGGTTGCCCTTGTGGAAGGTTTTAAAGGATGGACATTGGTGAAACTGTTGATGAGAAGTTTCAGGGATTTTCAAAGAGTCAGGAATTTGGGGAATTTGTGAAATCTCTTTCAGTTTTCCCTAAACAAAGTTTGATGCTTGTTAAAGCAGAAGAGAATTTGCATGTTTTTAGATGTCACAGATTTTACATGGCTTAAGTGTCAGAATATATGGTACTTATAAGCCAGGCAATTTGCAGCTTACAAGGGTCTTGGGATCTATTATTTTCTGTCAAAGTTTCAAGTAGAAATTGAGAGCAAATGCATCTTTCTTTCTTTTTTCACATTCATTACAATTCGTCTTTGAAACAAAGTGTAAAGCAATCAGTCTTATATTGTGAAATTTTTTCTCATCCAAGATCAACCAAACTTTTTATCTTAATGAAAATTCACATTCAAATTGAAAGTTTCCAGTCAGTTTCCAGAAATCTCCCTAAGATTTTTGCACTCCTTCAAGAAATTCACTACATTCAGAATTCTCCAGAATTACCTAGTATACTGCTGTGAACATTTACTGGAAGATGGTGATTTTGAATCCAATATGAATCTGGACATTTAGACATCAGTCATTAAACTGGTCTGAGTTTTTATGTGTCGAGTGAATTTTTTTCACTTGCTCAGAATGCACACACCTTGTTTGGACTACTCTGTCGCAGCGATACACTATCATTATTTTACTTTTGATGACCGAGATTTCCAACCGTACATGTATGTAATTTGGCCCATAACGTGTCACTTTTGTTTTAGCAAATGAGGTACACAAAAATGGTTGGAATATGTTTTATGTATAGCAATTATGTTAGCCCCTGCAGGTGCCAGTGTACTTTCAGTTTGCTGTTTCAGGAAACGCGTTGTTCACGCATGACCCATGGGATATGCTGCACCGTTGTTTTCCGCTTGCAAGGCTTGTCCCAGGTTTCATGCTATAGGGATTTGCTTTTTTGAACGGGAACTTATACTTCCTCCAACTCCTGTCGTAGGCTTCAAAAATTTAATGGTTGGGGTATCAAAAGTGAAACTCGGGCGAGGAATCACGTGTGCATATGAGTGTAAATTCTCTCCCCCCCCCCCGCAAATACCAGGTTTATCTCTGTTGTGCGAAAGCGTTTGTTTTGAAGTATTCTTTAATTGATCATGTCATTTTTCTACATGCAGTTATTTCAGTATTTTCATACTGAGCTCATTTGTCAGATTTGAGTCACCTTTAAAAATCAACTAGTACATGTACATGTACAAGTTTTACTTGGCATGTACTCACCATCTTCGTTTTCATTTTGAATGTTTGCATTGAGGAATTTTTGGTTCCACTCATCTGTTGAGTGAAGAGAGTCCGCTTCGGAAAAGACAAATTGTTTGTCTTTTCACTAATTTATGCAGAAGAGAGAAGATTAACTCCTTCTTGGAGATAGATTGTGAAAAAAAACAGCTGTCTTGTGCAGAAATAGTTATGGCATTACCTTGTCTCTTTGCCACCCCTTTTCACAAAGTGGTATGGCCTGATGAATTAGTAATTACATGTAGTTGAGTTGGAAGCAGGTGTTAGGGGGTCTAGCATACATGTACACAGGAGTGGGTGAGGAGTTGACTAAACTCAGCTGATGGTTCTTCCTTGTACTGTACATGTAAATTATGAACAATGACGCAAAATTGCAGTTTAAAAAACAAGTATTCATTTAGCTGAATATCCATTTATTATTGTTCTTACTAGTTTTGATGGTATTTATATGTTTTCTGCCCACCATCTCCAAACATTTTATAAGTGCAGTCAAATGTGCTGGTACTTAATGTACATTTGGGCATGGTGTACATAAGTGTTGCACTTCACATTTACATATTAAGTTGACTTTTTAGCAACAAAATGTGAATTGAAAAAAAAAAAATGAATTAACCCTTCCAAAATTCTGCACGTCTCAAGTTTCTAACCTCCCTCCCCGAAAAATGAAACGGCTTTGCCATTACAGCATCCAGTGACCTTTCAGGTTTTAATCAGAGAGCACACTGATACTAGTGATAGAATGAAGCGATGATATAAAATGCCACATGATTCATAACCAGCAGGCCGTGGTAGGCCTTCTTTGGATGCCTGCAAATACCCTGCAGCACTAACATACATGTACATGTATGTACCTATGTCATCTTGAGCAATTAAGGGTGGCTGGCCAAGTGGGCTTTGGATCTCATGCCTGGCACTATCCACATTTCACCACCTGTCATGTGGTTTGATTGATGTAGACAAAATGAGGGCGAAAGAGGTTTATTTTGCTGTCCATTTTCATGAATAAATTTTTAAACTCATTAACATGCAAGGCTTATTCTTCACAGGCTTTTAAAAACATTTTCATTGTATGCAGATGTGAATTTACATGGGGGCCTACATCTTGCAGTAAATCCTGAAATCATTAGAATGTACATATGAAATAAACTTGCTATTTATCCTTTCATTATTACGTACGATTGGGTCAGGTTATCAGATTTCGAATGTGGACGAAAATTAAATAATCTGTCTGAAACTCAAAACTTATTCACATTTTTGAAAAATAGGTGTTATTGTTCAAATATGTTGTAGCTGAAGTTGATTAAAATTATTTGTGTATGTGGTAGCTTCAGGCAGAATGTATTGTCTAAAAACAGCCAAAATGACGGTAGTAACTAGACAAAGCAGTGCTCGCGCAAAAACAGGAGGAGGCAGGTGCAAGAAGTGAGTATTGATTTTCATCTGAAGGCGAGAGTACCCTCTTTAGACACGTGGTGGCTTCCGGAAAAGATGCAGCAGGCTTAGCTGAATGATGTGTGGTTATGAAATAATGGGTTGTGGGAACAATAGAGGAAACTGGGATTGAGCCCAATGGAGAGCATCTCATGGTGAGGAAGTCACTGCTTAATTGATAGGACAGACGGATTTGAGGTAAAACCCCCTTGGCGGTTTTTGTGGCCTGGCTGATCAGTTGAAGGAGCTGACAACCGCAAATGGTGAATTGCCACTAATCAGCTGCTTGAAATTCTTGGGCAATTGCTCATTTTATTTTGTTGGTGCATGCTCCACACAAATACATGCAACTTCAAGTAGAGGTGTTTGGTAAAAACCGTGTAACTGAATACATGTACATTATATTCAGGTAGGGCACCTTTCTGAATTAAATCTGTTTTAAAGAAATAAGAAGTTGGAATAGTTCAGTATCGATATTCATTATAACATGAAGAGATGGAAATCAAGACTCCACAGAAACGGTTGAAATAATGAAGTTGAACAGAGCCAGTCAAATAGTTAGTTTTGATTTTTAAAAAAAGGGGCAGTAGGCTAAGAAAAATTCCTGCCAGGTAAGTTGAGAAAAGGGTTAACTTGAAAGTTTAAAAAAAAATAGAAAAAAATAGTAAATTCTACAACTTGGTGTCATGTGTTACAAATCCTGGGAGTCAGACTCCATATTTAAAGAAGATTATTTACCTGTAGTGCAATTTGGTATCAGAAATAAAATCAAAGCGGAAGTAGGCCACTCAGCGGTTGATAGCGTGTAGTTTACCTACACAGAGATAACTGAAGCCCAGCTGGGCTGGGTCACAAAGGTTATGTTGTGGTGGAGATGTGTATTGTCATTCCCTGTGAGAAATTTTCCAGTGTACAGGTTTAATTGGGTGCGTGGGCGTGTGAGCTGCATGTAGGTAAACATGCAGAGGGATTGCCTTATCTGAGCTTAAACTAGAAATGAATGTAAAGCTAGGGCATTTAAATAGTCCGCATCAGGCCCAATAAAAGTGTCTAGTTTCTGCTCATTGGTTAACTGTAAAATTGCTGTGGTGCGACACATTTTTATTTCTTTTTGGGGAAAAGGACTTCATTTTACTTTTTTTCTTTTGTGTATGTAGCCAAAACAGTAACACTGGCAACAAAGGCAAGACTTGCTGACAACAGTCAGTCTTTCTGTTTTTGTCTGGAAGCAATATAGATCTTGTTAGCATGTCAATGGCCTTGGAACCTGTGGCACAGGGGACAGCCATTTAAATAGCTCTCATGATAAGGTGCTACACCCGCATGTACATATGTTCATTCTGTGTGCGCAGCAAGCATTGAGAACAAGGCCTGCCAGGTATCAAGCAATGTCAAGGCATAGTCAAGTGCACTGCTTAGCAACTGGCACAATTTAGAAAAACTTAGATGACATATCGCTCGAATTTCTCACTGTGCTTGTGTAACGAGCTCAGTGCGCCACTCTACGGTACAAGTCAGCATAAATCAGGGTTATGTACATGTATTGTTTTTACCACTTTGTTGGAACATGATCATCAGTTTCATATGTTCAGCTGTTGAATTGTCTGTTTGTGTTTGGCAGGTGTTCTCCAAACAGTCAGAAGGAGCAGGAGAAACGTATCCGGCGGGAAATTGCCAACAGCAACGAGAGACGCCGCATGCAGAGTATTAACTCCGGCTTCCAGTCACTTCGCACACTCCTGCCAAACCACGATGGTGAAAAACTTAGCAAGGTCTGGAGTAGAAATTGGAATGGAATTAGTTAACTTTTATTCTAATCGCTGCCGAAGACGATAGTTTTCTAACGCAAGTCCTCCTTAACTAAGGCATTAATCTGAAATGGATGTGCCCTCTTCTTTAAAACCCAGAAGTTTGGAACATTTACATGTTGTAACCCATTTTAACAGCTGTCACGTAACATCAGAGTACAGAGAACTATATGAAGCAGTCATGTGAAGTGTGCACACGCGGTGAAATGATCACAGAATGACAAAAATTACATATAAGGTCATGGTTGAGTCTCCATGTTATTGTGTCAAATCCATTTCACTTTTTGTCCTTGAAAGTATTCGGAATAGCTCTTGCAGCCCAAAATGTTAAGTCAAAGAATAATAAACCTTCATTTGCATGTGTCTGTTGTGATTCTCTTCTAATCAACTGGAAAGACAAAGTGTCCCTTTTCCTTTTGCATGCTGGAATTAGATTTCCTGTACCTACTTGTATTTGGAGCATGTGCTTAAAAAAAAAGCAATTCTTTTTTCCCGCGTTATCAGTTTTCTTTGATGTGTTTCCTTTTGTCCATTCCAGGCAGCCATTTTGCAGCAGACATCAGATTTCATCTACCGCCTGGAGCAAGAGAAGACCCAGCTGCTCAACCAGGTGATACACTTCAAGCGCATCATGCGCAAGTATGAGCGGGAGGACCCGGACTCACCCTCACCCAAGCGGCGGAAGCGCCAAGACAGCATGACGGATGAGGGCATTGGCAGTCCTGAGAACTTTGAAGACACAAATGTAAGAATTTCACCCGAGTGGCGATTGCAGTGGCTCGTAGACACAGTGCTTCACGTTGATGATTTAGCATGTCTGGACATTAGGGTTTGTGACGACTTTCAAACCCTACAACCTCTCCAACTGCCATTGATTACAGTGGCCAATACCATGTTGGAGTTGAATTGGCCAGGTGACCTGGTCTGATTCTGTGTTTGAGTAGCCAAAACAGCTGCACTAATGAGCAAGAGGTGAAAGGTTTGAGTCCCATCCAGGCAAGCCAGTGAATTATTCTCACAAGCTCTGGGATAGCGTTTGGCAAATCATACTTATCAAATTAAATCAGCAACCAGCAAAACCCTGTATTATACTGCCAAAACACGTTGGAATTCAATCATGAGCTACTTACAGTAGAACCTTTTTGATTGGTTTGCTGTTCATGGCTTGGAGAACATTTAATGTTCCAGAAGTAATCAGAAGTGTGCCAAAAAGATAGTAAGGTGAAACAATGCCAGTCAGGATACAGCTCAATAATCACATCGGACGTGAATCCTTGTCAAAGTTAATAACAAAAATACTTTGCCCACAAGGTATCTTAAAAGCTGGGAAAGAGGTTATTAATATTAGATTTGTTGGAGGCCTATCCCCCCTCCCCTTTTTTTACTTTAACATGCCATTCGTGTCAGTAAGGAGACACACATACCTGCACGTTAGTTGGCAACAGAGCACCCCATAACTTGAGATTATCTTTACGTTAGCTCAGCCCAAGTCTGACAGTTACTGGAATGTAGTCACGTTCCTAATGTGTCGCACAAATCTTAGATTCAAAATGCACTCGCATTTTGTATTTGAGTTCTGGTCAGACAGTGCACATGTATCCTGACAGTTGAATGGATTGTGTGAAATGGAAAGCTTGGGGTGCTCCAGTTATGATTAAAAATCCTTGCGATCCAATTTCTTCCAGATTGACGAATTGAAACGAGAGCTGGTTGATCTACGTTGCCAGCTGGACAGAGAGAGGCGGTATCGCATGCTTTTGGAGGAACAGAACAGGTCCCTGGAGTCACAGCTGTACCCAGAGAAACTCAAGGAGTTGGCCCAGCAGGTAAAAAGCTCCATTTCTCTTTGGTAAACTTTCATCTGGCGTCTCAGTTGCCGGAAATGGATTTGAAACTGCCATTGCACTTAATGCATGACACAACATGTGTTGTGAGTGTAAAGTTGCATGTTAAAGCACTGAAGGAATCATGAACATTAACAATTTTACTAGTTCACAAGTTAGTGTAAGATTGGGAGTGTCCACTTGTTTCTTGAGAATTTACCAGGATTTTTGTGCCAATAAGGATTTCACTTAGGCTAAAACTGCATATATCTTCGTTCCAGATGAAGTTCTGATGTGTAAGAGTTCATTGTTCAGAACAAAGATTTCTGCCCTTTCACAAACTTTCCCCTCGGGTTCCATAATGGTTTTTTCCTGTTCTTCATTTGTATTGTGGAAGAGATCTTTATTTTTTTTATTTTTTAATGGCGTTCACCTACTGCAGATTAAACTCCAAGAGCAGAGGGCCTATGAAGAAAGGAAGATCCTGGAGCAGGCACCACCTGCACCACGTCCGGTCATCATGCAGTACCAAATCCCCCCTCCACAGACCCACATCATCAGCCCCGCTACCACGCTGACCACGTCGCGGCAAAACCTGGAGACCATCGTGCAGGCCATCCGGCACCTGGAAGGTGAGAAGACCACTCCAGGCAACACGCCCCAGCAGACACCCAGCCACACGCCCACCCCGGAGGACGAGGCCCGGAAGGTGAGGGAAGACGAAGAGACGCTAAGTGGCGACGAAGATGTGTATCGGAAAGAGCACAGTGAGCGCTCGGTAATCGTGACTGATTCGGAGACCATCCGCAACGTCAGTAACAGAGTAACTGTTGAACTTCTCCACCCAATTGACAGGCTCAAGACACGTCCGAGCATCATCGTTTCATGAGAGTCGTTTGTGCATTGATATTTATTCCTAACATTAGCCCATATACTAACAGCTTAAATAGCATGCTAGTCAACTTAGTCTCCAATGTTACTGTATACTGTAGTTGATATTTATTGATACATACTGTCTAGTTAAGGCTCATTGTGTAGATTCAAAGTAGAGAACATGTAGGTATGTAAAGTGATTTTTCTGTAGTTTACCCCTGGGTGATATTGCTGATGATACACGCGTATGTGCTTGTTTGTGAATTTGTCTTGTCAGTGACGTGCTTTGGTCATTGTCTTGTTGCTGAGTATAACTTTATCTCCTCATGCCATTTTGAACTTCAATCTGACCAAATAATGTGTTGAATCATATTGGCAGTGATGGTAGCTGGTACATTTCAAGGTTTCTGATCGGTTCTTCTGCGCATGTGAGGGTGTTGATTGGCTAGCATTTTGGTTGTTTCACAAGCAGAATATGTGCTAGCTTGATAAGTTCAGTCTTTGCATCCACACAGATACTTGATTCATAAATATGCTGCCTCTGCAGTCACTTATTGACCTCGTTCCTGGACCAGATCCCAAAGTGAGTCACAAATAAGAATGTTCATACTAGGAAGGATGATTTGACTTAGTCACAACTCCGTCTGGTACCTGTCTGGCAAGGGAGGGAGGGGGCACGGGGACATGAGGATACCGTTTGGCACGGTGTCAGTACAAGTTACAAAAAAGTTGGAAGCCAAGTCATGCCAAGATGGGATTGCGGATGTGATACAACGGTGATGCAGCAATAGTGGAAGTAGGTGTCTGGAAAGCACCCAGGGCACAAGTCAAAACCTGTTAGGTCCAAAGTGTGCAAGTGTTTGGCTGGCCTGCATTTCTTTTGCCGTGTCAAAAAGTCTAAAACTCTGCAAAAATATGACTCAATTTGCATCGGCAGACCGGGGCTTGGACAAACAGACAGGACTGTGGGCTTGATCTTTTCGCTGGACACATAATGGCAAACACAAGGCTCTAATGTCAATAAACCAACACATGTTGAACGAATCAGGGGAAAAACCTGTTGCAGGTTTTGTTACCTTTTTTTTTCTCTCTCTCTCTCTCACGGTCCAAAGTTTGCGTTAAGCGAGACAGAAAGTATCAGGTGATTGTAAGAATGTTCAGTATGTGTCAGGTCAAAGTGAAGTCTATTAACGCTGATTCACATCAGACTGTCTAGACAGCTTATTAATCATAAACTAGATGTAGACTGGGTCACTGCCCTAGGGGAAGAAGGAAGGCAACAGAGTTTCACAATTTCAAATATTTCAACCAGGGAGAATCCAAGGAAAACTCAAATTCTAAAAGAGCATTTCTGAAGGTGATTGCATGTGTAAGATGTGAATGTCGTGAGAAGTTTAAAAACCAACGACACAAAGTTATCATATAGCAGATTTGGCTTGAATACGGGCGATTCACAGTAGTGCGCCACCAAGAGTTTGCAAGCATTGGCCAATCATAACATGCGAAATTTGTCGACCCTTTCCAGACGCTCATTGGGTCGACAAATTTCGTGCATTGTGATTGGCCAACATGTTGCAAACTCTTGGTGGCGCACTATTGTGAAATGGCTGTGTTGTTCCTACAAACCTCAAATGCCACAGGATATTGTGTCATCCAAACTAAACTTAAATGCACAGAAATCATCTCTGCTTTCAGTCAGTAAACCACATGCAGCGTTCCCACAGACATTGCAGTTGCTGCTGAATGTGCCCTTGACCGACAAAACAGTCTTTTCCCCTCTACAGCACAGAAATTCAAGGTCTGGAAATGCAATCACAAGTCTGTTCACCGGTCAGCCTTATGACCTTGAACAGTTTCCAAGTCCTGGGCTGGATCAGCTGACACTGTACGTTGCCGGGTGCAGCCCTTCCATCATGTGTTGCCAGAGCATGTGATCATGTGCTTTGGAGCTGGCATTGTGCCAAACCAGTCAGGCTCTCTGTCTCTTGTGTTAGTCTGTGTTTAAGGAACTCTACCATTGCCAAGTTGGAGGAGGTCAGACAAACCTGACACTGTTGAATTACACAAATTCCAGGGGGCAGGTTGTGGAATGTTAAACCTGAGTGCATTGCCTACGTACACATGCAACTGTCTGAAACAGGTTTGCACACTGTATTCATGGACAGTCAGTGGAAGTAATGTCACTCATGACAAAATCATGTCGGAGGCCCTCGTAACAAGGCAACAAGAAAGAATTTTCTGTAAAATTTTACAACAGCTATGTGCAGAAAAGAGAGAAATAGAGTTTGATCAGTTTTCAATATTCTGAGATCCCCAAAGAAGGAAATCCTTAGAGGATGTTTTCTTTTAATGTGGCACAACCTTGTGTAAAAGAATTTTAACAAGGATAACATTCGCTATAAATAGCTGCGTGTAGCACCCATTGTTTATGCATGCTAGGCACTGAAGTATCGGTGGAAAACATGCAGCCTGGCTGTCGTTGGGCGTGTCTGTCAAATGATGTTTAGGTAGGGGTCAAAGTTCAATCCTGCTTGGGGGGGAATGCATGCATGTGAAATGCCTGGTGGTTTTGTTGCTTCACAGAGTCCTGGAAGAGTGCCAGCTGACATGATTGCTAATGCAGTCACCTTCCCGTTGTAGAGGATAACATTTCCTCAAATTTCCTTTAGTGAGGGAAAATTGTACCTCCCCGTAAAAAAGAGACAAAATATTTAAAAGAATAACAATACGAAGATAGAAAATGCTCAGAAAAATACCAAGTATTGGTATTATCAGGTATAATTTCAAAAGGCGATTTGATAAAAAAAAATGTATATATACTTTTTGTGGCCTGAAAGAGTGACATTTTAGTTTATTTTGCTGTTGTATGTTTTGTGTGTCATTGCAATGTTGTCTTTAGTGGCACATGGTTTTTGTAAACCATGTACATACTTTGTAGAGATGTAGTTGAAGAGTGTATTGGCAGATTTAGCATGGGTACAACTCCATGGAGACGATGAGTCCAGCATGAAAAACCTAAAATATTTATTGATTTAATCAAACATAAAAAAGGAGAGTATTTGTCAGACATGTATTTTTATACAGAAGAGAAAAAAATTGTAACTAAATTGTTTGACTGTACGCATATAATCATTTGATTCATATGTTGATTTATTCCCCTTGAACCTGTTGGAACAAAGTTGTTATTTACTTTACCATGAAATGGTCTAGAACATAGTTTATTGGTCCTCAAACACTTGAGCTGTGCCTTTGTGTACTACTCTCAGTGTTTGTTATCACAGAAAAAGAAAAAAAAATTAAAAGAAAAAGAAATAAATGGGAGACCATCACAACTTGGCATGGTTTGGTTGATAATTCCAGAGCATGAAATGGCAAAGGCTAACTCCAGAAGATGGATTATTTTAACCGCATTTCAGCACTGGAAACTCTGAAGTTCTGTGAGACTGAAGCCTATGTTCCTTTCCAATTTTGTACCCTGCTAAGCCTGCTTTAAGTGTTTACCATTTAGATGTAATCCCTGAAGCTGTACTTTGGTGTTAACAGTCTAGCATTGCCCATTTTGTCGTCCAAAAGGGCACTCGTTTTTAAATAATATGTAAACATGTTTTGGGAAGTTTCCGAGTGTGGAGCAAGCACTAAGGACATCATCTCTCTGTAGTTTCTAGGGCTTAGTGTTATGTTTTAAGATCTGTAGGTTTTCCTCTTGGACGATGAGTTAGTGATAATTTTGTTTGCGGAAAGTTTGAAGCTCATGTATGAAGGGGAAATTGCACCAGGGTTGGGGATGTTAATGAACTCTTTGTAAAGACGCAGCTTTGTAGTCACCACTGGAATGGTACGTCCCCCAAAATGCTGAAGCTTTTTTTATTACATACAGAGCGACATGATGTTTGAAATCTTGGTTCAACAGGGCTGGCCTGGTTGTGTCAAATGCCTTTTGTGAACAAACATGCTTTTTCCATAATCGAATGAGTTTTGTCCATTTTGATTATGTTGATTGACCATTACCTGCCTTTTTCGGATGCAGTTTTGCTCATTTGATTTGTGATACTTTGGTTGGCTGCTAAAGTTTGCAGTTTATTTGACCAGAACACCCAGATTTAGCAGTGCTGTATTTGCCACACTTGTTGATGTCTAAGGTGTTTTAGACCAATGTGCAATGCTTGCTGTGGCATGTTGCGACACTTGAGCAAAAAAGAATTCATGTTAAATGTACAAAGGATGTTAATACAGTGTTAAGGTTAGTTGCTTGCTGTTTGTGTTTGGATGTGATTTGCATATAAATCTGCATATTTATAAATGAGCAGCTGCCAGTTATACCTCAGTCCTCCAATGAAAAATCACTAATTTAAAACCATTGTAATAGATTGTATTTAAACCAAAAATTGCATATGAAATGTACATTGTTAATGTTCCCAAAAACCATATTTGACCAAATATTAAGGAAATATTTTAACATAATTACTAAAACTGTAAGTATGTTCATTTTTTTTGTTTTTTTTTTCTGATAAGATTAAGTCCATTTCTTGCGCATTAATAATTTTTTTTTGGTTATAGTTTTACTTTCTTTGCAGTTATATATCTGCACATATATTCTCAGATTTTTTTCCTATTCATATCTTCAAGTTCTATATTTTTTGTGTTACTCCATACTTGTGTACAATGTAACCTCTTTATGCAATTATGTATCATTGTGAGAGGTTTTTGTAATCATTAGCTCTGAACCAGTTTTGACGTTGACTGGCAGCCTGTTGGTCATATAATTTGTGTTATTTATGCTATCCGAGCAATGGGTTTTGAATGTATTTTCCCTTTTAAGCAAAGGTCCTAGGCAATGGGAATATCATGGTTTGCTGAAATTAATCCAAGGAAACCCAACTTAACTTTGCGTGGCTTTTGGTTGGGACATGACATCTTGTATGGCACATTCAATGCAGATAAGCTTTCCGTACAGTGGGTTTTTGTAACCAGTAATAACACTGGGAGTAAGACAATAAGGCAAGCAATTTTCAATGCAGTAGCAATGTTGTCAATGCAACAGTGTGGTGGTGCCCTCTCGTGATAAAAAACGGGCAGGGTGTCAACTAACTGGATTGAGTGAAACAATGCAAATCCTTGTACTTGTAAACTGAAGCTGTGTAAGATTTGTCCACTCCAGCTAATCAACAAGAGGACAGTTATATTTTACGGACTCACTTTGTCGCAAGGCTTAAAGAAAAATTTCTACCTCGCCATGTGCTGAAAAATTAGTAACCACTGTGAAATCACTGAATTGACCTTTTTTCATAGAATGTTTTGTAAGCTGAGAGCATGTACTCGACCAATCACAAACTAGGGTGAAATGTTATCTACATGCAGTAGTTGTACGTGATATAAATGCAATCACAAGTATGAAGCCCAACCACCTGATTTTTGCAAAATGCGTTGGTCACTGTGGTCTCTGGAAACGCTGTGAACCAGCAGGTTCCGTCGTTGCATCGAAAACACACGAGTGATCATGATTGGGACACCCTCAAAAATGGGCGTTAAGTCACAGGCTGTCAACCTGTTTTCAACCAGCCTCTCCTCTGGCTTGTCTGATTCGCCTTTGAAGTACCACCACTTAGTGATTTTGATGACACTGGTCAAAGCAAAGATGATGTCACAAATTCGAGCTGCAAAGTGGGAAACTGTAAACTGATATCTGCCGTTTTGTGAATGTGTCTTGAAGTATTGGTTGTTGAAATTTCATGCATACATGTAGTTGTAAAAATTGAGCAGTTAGTAACTGTTTGGTTTGATGTCCAGTGATATTGTTCATTGCTCGTTAAATGTAGTCACTAGTAGCTGTATTTTGTGATAACTCTCAGTACAGTGGGTGTATCATTATGTCTTGGTGAAATAAGATTTGTATTTTTATTTGTGGCATATGATGCCCCATTATTGTGTTAATATTGTAAATAGACCATCCACAAAAGATGTCATATACGAATAGTCTATATTCTCTCAGCATATCTTGATTGTCTCAGCAACCTTAATATAATCATCTTGTTATGTCCAGGTTG